TGACAAATGGGTCTCCCAAATGGAAAAAAATTATTTGCATCATATACCTGTGTGTGCATGATATATATATATGCATTTATAATAATTCAAATTAACAATATTTTTAAATGAGATTCAAAAGATAAATTTGTAAAATCAACATGCATTACATAAATATATCTTATACTTACTATGACAATAGTTATTCAAATACATAAAAACTAAAATTTAATACAATTTTTAATTTTAATCTAATTTTCTTATCTAGTACATAACATGGATTCATGTAAAATAAATAATCAATAAATAAGACATTCAATCTATGATTATGATATATACAAGCATTTCTTTAAAGATATGAGAAAAAATTTTCATTGAATTATTTTGTAACCAATCCAGCACGTACTATAGCAAAATAAATCACCTCTATCTCAATAAATAAGGAAAATCAGATCAAAATAAACAAACAAATACCCACAATTATAATTTGAAATCATGCAGTTTTTAAAATACTTTTTAATTCTGAACTATAAAATACTTTTCAAATCAACTTAAAAAGCTAAATTTTATGAATTTTCATACAAAATAATTTGAATTACTGATATTTTTCAAACAGCAGTCATAGAATAAACCATAAATGCAATTTCATACATCTTTCATTTAAATCTACACACTTAATAGGAACTGCGCTTTTAATACATAAAATTAAGAGTAAAACATGATTTTTCACAAATTTTCATACTCAAAATACCTTACATTTGCTCTTGACTATGTATTCAAATCGCTACAAAGAAAGTAGATGAGATATAAAATGCTAATCTTTTTAACTTATCTGCTTTATTATTTTTGTGTTATAAAGCCCAACATAAAATAGCAGTTTCCATAATTAATTTCTACTGTTGATCGATCACCAACTAAAAACTAACCTTACATCTTTCACAAGCAGCATAACTATTTCCGTGAACAAATATTTCACACATTAACTGCTTCTTATGCTGTTTAATAGACAGCAGTTCTTCTGCCCAAAAGTAAATAAACTGCAGTGCATTCAAAGATAATGTTCACAACCACAGAACCAATTTTCAATATACATATGTTGCCAATGTATAAGAAATGAAAATCTTTCTGAAGCCACGTTATACAGAAACTATAAGCAAAAAATAACTAACTGAGAAACTGAGCACAAGAAATAAATGTGTAGATGGACATTTATTTTTTCTGCCATTTAATTTCAACATTCACAACTTAAGCTTGCAAATTTTCTTTCACAATGGCTGCTGCAACATAAAAATAGCACCACATTTTATGAATACAGTAAATGATAAGAAGCAATCTGATTAGTGAATACATGAAATATACAAAAATATCACTAAACGAATGGATGAAATGAAATCTTTACATAAAGTAGCATTGAATAAAATGTTCTAGTCATTTTTCTAAAAAAGCATAATAAAAGAAGACCATATAAATATTATCTATGCAAATGCATAACTTTCATTTTAATAGCTTTTATTTAATATATATTATCACATTGAAAAACAGGCTGAAATCTGCACATACTTCATTATTTAGATTAATGACAAAAGAAAAATTAATGTGACATGCAAGACAATTTCTAATATTTTCCTTTCACTGTGGTACTTGTGTGCTTTAAATACTTTTTTAATGCAACAATATCATGTTTGTAATAAAAATGAGAATAACATATTGAAAGAAAAACTAAATAAAGTATTTCACTTCATAATAAAAAATCTGATGTGTACACCACATGACTTCCTTGTACGGAATATTAAATTATACGCATTTTTTCTTGAATTTCATTTAAATTGATTGGATTGGATTAAATCTACTTCGTCGACAGCGCATAAACCACAATAGAATAAATGCACCCTTTTAAATTCACTATATTTGTTTACTATAATGACACTCTAAATGCACAAAATTAATATAATTTGAAGAATTATCGTTGCCACATGTTCTATTCAAATAAAGCTAAAACAATGTATGAAAGAAATTAAGCAAACAAAACAGAAAAGAAACAGTTTTTCACAGACGATTTAGTATTTCTCATTTAATCAATTCAGCTCTCACTTCGCGACAAGGCAAAAATACATAAAAACTCAAAATATCTGCATTAAAAATTACAAAGTAAATCTTAAACGCTTATTTCATCGAAAAAATTGCGTATTAACACTACTTCTTTTAACTGCATCCTGCCATTAGTACAACTGTCCTCCAGTCTACTGTGCAAATTTGTACCATTCGTTGCTTCGTATGTGTTTTAATGTACACTTCAGACTTCAAGTGGCCCTCAAAGAAAATAATCACACACTGACAAGTCTGGAGAATTTACTTGTCATAGATCTCCTTTAAAAAAAAAAAAAAAAAAAAAAAAGAGAGAGAGAGAGAGAGAGAGAGAAAAGCATAACCACAAAACAATTGCTGCCTATTGTAATTTTTAAATGCAACAGTTTGCTTCCTGTCTTATAGGTGTCAAATTTGAAATATGAAAAACCTGAAGGTTTTTCTGCCACAAATTCAAATGATTTCAAAACTGATAAATTGTAACTAAAGTAAAATGTAAAACTTTGTTTATTACACAATGATGATTGTAACATAAAATAGATTAAAATTTAGAATGGCAAATGAAGTACTAAGGAATAGTTTTGGGTTATTTCATTCAAGTACACATATAATAAGTTGGGAATGAAGCAAATATATTTTGAAGCATACATAGGTGATCTATAATGAAGGAAAAAATTTGAAGTTGTGTAGATGCGATAAAACGAAATTATAGCAGATTTTAAATGTTCATTTTATTTCTGCTGAACATTCTGTAGCCACAAATATCTTTGAATACAAATTGTGCCTATTCCAGAACATAACATTTATATTTTTTAAACTATTGCGATAGGAAGAAAGAGGCACACCAGTACTTTAGCAGCAACAGAAGAAGCAGCGTAGATTGCATTGAGGGTGAAATCTTAATTCAGAATGAGTTAATTTCAGTTATCATATATTTGATTGGATAATTAACAAATTCTAAACTTTGTTATTGCCAGTTCCTAGTTTTATTTAGGTTGTATGTTATGTAGAAGTCATATGATATGGTCATTATGTAGAAATGACGCAGTACACAAAAGTTTGTTATAATCAATTGTTACTTTTAAAACAGAAAGGGAAAATATCCAAATTAAAATGGAGCCTTAAGAGGCTATTGCTAAGTTAAAATTTTAATTTACCTATTTTTTTAATTTAATTTTATTATTATTATTATTATTATTATTATTTTCTCTTTATATATATATATATACAGAGAGAGAGAAAAGAAAATGATGAAAGAAAGTCAGCAAAGGAAAAACATTTTATCCACATGCATAAATATGATAAATAAAAATTAACTAATATGCATATAATCATATGAATAAGATTAGTAATGTACCATTTACAAATTTTAAGTAGAATTAAATACAAGTATTTAGTTATTAAATACTAATTCAGTCTTCATGAAATAGTCTCAAAACTGTTGTTTATTAAAACACTTCAGACTGAATAAATTTTGCACCAAGTTTAGAAACAATTCAATCTTCACAACTCAAGTTTCATTACAAGATGACACATGTATGCCTTAAAATTTTTTAAGTTTGCCATCAAAATTCTCATTGCAGCAGTTCACTTTCCTTTCGTACTTAGTTACTAACTTTAGTAACTAAGTGCTATTTACATTTGAACAAGATGATCTAAATTCACACAAATTTAAAAACCAGGAAATTTAGAGATTTATTGAAAGACCATACTTGATTCAAAATCAGAAATTTCAAGGTTTTAATGCAAAGACTGAAAGCTCGGTATCTAAATGGCAATATAACTAACCTATACTACTGAAAAACTCCTCACATTCTGCACGGAACATTTGAAAAATGTACAGTTAAAAAAATTAATGACAAGAAAATGTACAGGTAAAAAAATTAATGACAAGAAAATGTACAGTTAAAAAAATTAATGACAAGAATAACATTATACAGTCAAAAGTCGTTAATCCGGACTCGTTGTGACTTCGGCGATTCCGGATTATCGATTTTTCCGGATTATAGATAATCAGTTTAAATCTGGTAGATGGCATGCAGAAATTATAAAATTAAAAATATGAAACCGTAATTTATGAAATAAAGATCAATTATGATCTAAAGGGTATCAAAATTTACAAAAAAAAAAGCTTAATATTTATTTGTTTACTTTATTAAACATTTCTTTCAATGTAAGTTGTTTAAGTTGCTTCGTTTTCCTATGTGATAATACATTCTCTTTAATTCTATAAACAGACATAATTTCTTGTTCAGTTACAAAGTTCCGCTGTTTAAGTCCTATAATTGCTGTGTCTACCGACTAATTTGTCAATCCAAATTTTTTCGTTTTCAATAACCTCTATTACTTTCTTCGCTATCGGAAGCGAATTATAATGACGAGGAATTTGATTTAAATCATATCAAAGACGGAGTACATCGAGATGAAATACTACATTTAATAAGAAATTATAAACCAAATAAAATAAAAACATCTGCCCTGAAGATAAGGATAGTGCTGACAGATCAACTTCCAATTGATAGCGCGCCCGCCGCAGCGTTAAAGATAAACAAAGTTTAGATAAACAAACGTTAAAGTTTAGATAAACAAAGGATATGCCTTTATCCATTTTTTGCAGCAATTCCACTTTTTGTTTAATGAACTTCGAAATATACTTTTGCTTTGTAAATCCTTTACATATTAGTAAATATATATCAGAATTCTATTTGACATAATCGAAAGTTCAAGCTTACTTTTATAAAATTGCTTTAACAGTTTGTAAAAAATAATAAGCCGGAAATAATTCGAAGATTAAGGAACAACACAATCTGCAACATTAACTGAAATAGATAATTAGATAATTTTAGCTTAGCTTAAAACGTCCGTTATACATTAAACGCGCACTCGTAAACGTATTTTGCGCACGCACACAAACATATTCGCAGCCGTAAAGGTCAACTCGACGCATGCGCAGAAAGTTTGTAGCTTTGAGGTCCGGATTATGGGTGTCCGAATTAACGACTTTTGACTGTATATCTTATCGTGCTGCAAAATAAACAAATATTTGAATTACATTTCATGACATCAGCTTTAAACACAAAATCCAAAATCATCACATTTCTGTGTTCCACATTAGAGAAGTTTGCCACTTCGTTCCAAATACAATAGTTTACTAGACTTTAATACCATGATACAAAAGGGTAAACATGTCACAACAAAGTGTTACCATTGAAACATAAATGATTCAGGTGTATTACAAAAACCAATCACTCACTGAGTGCGAGTTGAATAGCAAAAAACACTCAATCTCCTATTCAACTCGCACACAAGTAATGATCATATTAATTCTAAAAATCCAGAAATATTTTAAAAACGCACATTTTGTTCATCCTTATGTAGCTCTTAATTGGTTTCATCACCTAATAAATAAAAATTAATTTACACAACAAAGATTTTACAAGACATTAAACCTGCAATATGATGTAAATGTTCTAAGCAAATAACACATGATAAAGTTCACAAGCAACAAGTGAAAAAAAAAATCACTTTTATAGTGATGATTCCATGATAATTATAAATAAGCTTTTTCACAATAACAATGATGATATTGAAGCTAGTTACCAAATGAAATTTGGTAATAAATTCCAGTATTTTTCAAAAAATCTGATAATGCTTCAGGTTAGCTAGATCTCAAGGCAGTCAACACAATATCTTCGGGAACTGCAGGAGATTTGCTGGCACAAGCACGAATTATAGTAATAAACACACATATCAACATACAAAGGAAACCAAATACCTAAAGTGGAAATATAAACATTAAATTGAATGCATAAAATTTAGGAAAATATAAATTAGAAGTGCATAAATGTATAAAATTCGTTAAGCTTTTAATCTTAAAATCAAACAAGAACATAACACAAATAAAATAAATAAATGATAATTAAATTATGAAAAATGAGATTTTTTTAACCTTTATTTATTAAATATCATGTTCTATGCTTAAACCACATAAAATTTAATTCAACAGCAATATCACAAAATATTTAAAAGCAGCATATCTTTAGAATTTACGATAGACAGTCTCGCATGCTGAATATAAAAATGTTATTTTCCATACAGCATTACCTTGCTTTGAAATTGTTGAGTATGTTAATCAAAAATTCATTAAAAGTTTTACAAAATATGAAATAGATAATAACACAAATTAAAAATTTGGGCATCCAGGTACCCATGTTCAGCTGCAGGATTACATTATTCAAAATTTGACAACTCTGGGTACCATTGTTTTTTTCACAATGCGAGAAACATACATACATTCATGCAGATTCTTGATTATTTTATTTCTTTAAATATAATATTTGGTGGCAACAATTTGAAAAGTGAAACAAACATTTATAATGAAACAACGAAAATGCCATTTTGAAACTAATAGCCATTCTGGGCTACTGCTCCTGAGCATTACTACATGAAAAACAGAAAGAATAACCTGAATCAATTTGAGCAATTTTTGATACTCACTGGTTTGGAGAAAAGTAATTAGCTTGAAATAAAGTTTTACTAAAGTGACATATTAAGTAGTTTGCAGTAAAAAGCTTGAAAACATGATACATAAATCAGGCTGACGTTAGAATTTGCAGAAATTTGTATTTTATATATTTATACATTACTTCGTTGATTAATAAATTTCATTCCACTTTTAAGCTTCAGTATAAACTTTTTTATTACCACTTTTTAATACTATCATCTAAGTCTAAAGAAAACTAGCCAGTTTGAAGCACACTTTTACTAGTTACAGTCAACCAATGTAATTATTACCAGTCATATTCTTTTCATTAATTAAGAAAAATAGCATCACTTCATCAATTATGAAAAAATCAGACACTTCACAGCCTTTAATTTTCTATGCATGATTCAATTATTTAAAAAACCGGAATTTATAACAAGACGGAAATACTGTGTTTTTTCAAATCTGCTAGAAAACCTGCTGTAAAAGAATAGCTTTGATTATTAATATTACATGTTAAAAGTATAATTGCAGATACCCCCTTGGCGATAATTGGCAGTACATGGATACCAAGTTTGTGCAATTCTTTGAATGGTTATTTTGGCTTTGTGTAGCGGTGATTTTAGCGCCAAAATTTGCTGCTACACAAAGACAAAATAACAAGCCAAAGAATTGAACAAACTCGGTATCCATCTACACACTGACCTATTTTTACTTAAAAAAAAAAAAAAAAAACACAGAATTGCACAAACTAGGCATTGCACACTCCCTTGACTTTATCCATGTATATTTATCCATGTTATGACATTTATCCATGAATGGTTATTTTGGCTTTGTGTAGCGGTGATTTTAGCGCCAAAATTTGCTGCTACACAAAGACAAAATAACAAGCCAAAGAATTGAACAAACTCGGTATCCATCTACACATTGACCCTATTTTTTACTTAACAAAAAAAAAAAAAAAAAAAAAAAAAAAAATCACAGAATTGCACACTCCCTTGACTTTATCCATGTACACATCGACCTATTTCACTCAAAAAAAATCAGAGAATTGCATAAACTTGAATTGTGTACTACTTTGCCCATGTACACATCGATATACTTTCACTTAAAAAGTCAAAGGAGCACCCAATTCTAGGTAAAAATGTATTTATGTAACATTCAACTACTCAGGTTACCAAAAATGAAATAACAACTTGGCGATAAATGAAACAACAACTTGGCAATAAATGAAACAACTTTGCGATAATACAAGGGGTACCCTTCAGTCTACTCTTGTAAGGATCTTAAGTTTTACTAACGTTTATTTATTTTAAATCTTTACTATCACTTCTTATTTTCTACTTCCGGCCAGAATTAAAAGCGTTAACGTATTTATGCATAATTTGTCTGGCGAACGCCAAGTACTTAAGTTATGGCTTTTTGCCAAGCGAAAGAGAGAGGAAGCAGTTAGTCGAAGCAGGCCGCTTACCTTAGAAGTTTTACTCAGTTGCTGGTTGCCTTCCAGGCCAGAGGTTTTAATCCTCTTGATAATTTTAAACGTATTGTAGTGTTAACAGTTCTCTGTACTACATACGGCTTCCTGTTAATATAAGGCCAATCTTCCACGTTTATTATTTCAAAGTTAAGTTAGAGTTTATTTATATTTTTATATTCTTACGTTTAGACCACAAGTAGTGGGTCTTTGTATTCCGAAGTACGGAAATTATTGTAAAGAGAGAAAAATAAAGGGTTTTGTATACCCTTCTTGTGTATCCTGTCTACTTCCCACAGGTATTGAACATAGCTTTAGTAAGCTCTCTGTTCCAAGTCAGGTCCTTGCATGTTCCCAAAGAAAGTAAGACGGAACATTGAACCTGATACTCTAACCTATTATTGTTATTATTACTGAAAATATTTTTATAATTCACAAAATTTTGATTCATTTTCACCTTTTTATTTCAAATATACACTAGCTCAGATATTACAATCAAGAGTGAGATTTAAGACCTAGTCCTATTACATTATACCAAGTTACAGAAATAGTCCTATTACATTATACCAAGTTACAGAAAATTATGTCCTTTTTTGCACTGTAAATTATGGTTCCTGGTGTTATTTCAGGTTAGTACAACTTACATTCTTTAGAATGCCCAATATTCTAGCTGCTAAAAACTTAACATTAAGATCTATTATCAACAGGGCTCAAAAGTTTGATAAAAAAATCTGCCAAAATTGCTAAAAACACTAGTTTCAACTTTTACAGTTATTGCCATAAAACACATAACTAACAGAAACTAAGAAAATAACTAAATATATTATGGTGCAGGAAATAGTACAAGAAAACATGTACAGAACAAAGTCCGTAATCCGGACATCCATTATCTGGAATGATCTATAATCCGGACCTCAAAGCCACAAACTTACGCATGCGCATAAAGTGTTTACGCATGCGCGTTTGATGCGTTTTCTGTATGCTTTATGTATGCACATACAGAATGTGCAGAATGTATGCTCTAAGCATACCAGTGTTGAAAGAAATGTTTAATAAAGTAAATAAATAAATATTAGGTACTTTTCCGTTTTGCCGGCGCAAATCTAGCCAAGCAGACTTTATTGGTGACAACATACAGTATACATATAAAAAATATTAAAAAAATGTTAGTTCTAAGAATTCTTTTTTTTTTTTTTTTTTTTTTTTTTTTTGAAGGCATAAACATTTTAACATCGCTTAAAACTTTATAAAAAGCCAATAAATAAAGGCAATAAATTTATAAGAAGACAGTTAATTTAAGAATTTACTATGCTTTCATGGTTCAACATCCTAATTCGCCGGTTCATATCACGTGACCCCAAGCGATCTCATCTCACGTAAACTACTCTACAAAAATCTAATGCTCTCAGTAATTATCTACATTAATTTCAAGTTAAATCTTAATTGGAACACAAGTTTAAATGCAAGAATTATTTCAATTCGTACGAATAGCTTACTCAGAAATTATGTAAAACTGCAGTGCTTTACTTTCGCTAATTGTATTCTCATTAGAATTAATGAATTTAACCCTTGACTTTGTCTTTTCTATATATTTCGGCCTTCGGGTAGAGCGATGTGATTGCATCCTAATTGACTTAATTACCGAAAATGGCCTTAGACATAAAACTGATATATCTGATAAAAATTCTATGTAATTATATGCCAGTATTGAAAGAAACAATCAATCTGATAAGAAAAAGCTGAAACTTGTTTTGAAAATGAGGCGTAAAAGGTTACCAGCGAGAATATTCCGTTTGGCATCGGTTGTACCATTATTGGCAACTTTATCGTTTGCGCCGGCAAAACGGAAAAGTACCAAATATTACAATTTTTTTTTTGAAAATTTGATACCCTTTAGATCACAATTGTTCTTTATTTCATAAATTATGGTTTCATATTTTTAATTGTATAATTTCTGCATGCTATCTTACCAGATTTAAATTGATGATCTATAATCCGGAATCGCCGAAGTCCCGACGAGTCCAGATTACGGGCTTTGTACTGTATAAACATTTTGTTTAATTTTAAATGCATTTTTAAATTAAACAATAATTGCAGAGTTCAGCCATAATATTTATAAATATTATGGCTGAACTCTGTGATTATTATTTAATTTATAATGCATTTAAAATTAGCCATAATATTAAAGTTCAGCCATTAAGCCATAAATTCAAAAGTCATACAACAGCAGTTTCACCACAAAAGACCTGCTAGATCTTTTCCACAAAGTAGTTTACAGCAGAAGACCAATTTTGCTGCCGTTCCAAGTCATATTTTGAAAAGTACCACTGCATTTCTTGAAAAAAAGGAAAGACTAATGAAGCCTTGCATATATACCATTTCAGCATATTCATAAGAAATGCCCTGACATTTCAACTACAGACTATTGCACTTTTGGTCTCAAAAAAAAAAAAAAAAAAAAGAGTATAAACCCACCATTATTGATGGACTTCAGAAAATACTGGAAGAGGAATGGAAATCAATATTCCTGGAAATTTTATGAAAAGTCCTTCTAGCATGAAAATCACAATGCACACTTATAACCTAGAAAAAAGGCTATCAGATCAAACGTTTAAAAAAAATACTCTTTAAATATTAATTAAATAGCCCTGAAATAATTCTAAAAATATGTAAATACCCTCTGCATAATCCAACAGAAGAATATACAGTTATTATTCTGTGAACTGTGATTACAATACCACAGCACACAATGAAGTTGGTGACCATTTCTCAATAGAAGAGCCAGAAACTTCCACTTAATCTAAACCACTCACAATGGAAAAACAAATATTCTGCACATTATGTACCAAAAGACCTGTAAGTTGTAAGGAATAAACATTGCTTATACATTTATTAAAAAAAATAAAATAAATAAAAAATTACTTTGAGTAGAATTTTCAAATGTGCAAGAGTAATTTTTCAACATATCACACAAATTTGCATTTTATATCCAAATTTAAGTCTCCATATTACTTCCTATAATAATGAATTTAAGAAGAAAGTTTTAGTTTAAAAATTTAATATATATGCTTTAAGATTCTGTCTTCAAAATGGTTGCAGGCATTTTTATTCTTTTTTACATAAATAGAGTAAAGTATATTTAATCTATATGAAAACTGGTGCTGACTTATAATGCTAAAATAAAATTTATCATGTGAACATCTGCATATCAAAATTCCAGATGTTATGATGTTTTTTAACAGCAACTGGAAATTATCAATTTTCGAATGAAAATCATCCCATGTTAAACAGTTTGAAACAAAAATTTCAAACTACGAATTAAGCATCTAGCTAGTAAATCTAGCTAGATCATCTAGTAAATCTAGATGACTAAGCAGCGGAGAAAGGTGAAACAGATTCAGTTTGTACTCTATCAGCTATAACCAACTGCTTTTTCTGCTCCTAGTTAAGACACTTGCATTTCAGAGAAGAAAAGATTTTCAGTCAGTTCAGAGAATTGTTTTTTAGCTGCCACTTGAATTACTGCTTCAAACAGACTGGCACATGAGGCTTGTTTCTTGAATACAATAGTTAATAAAATTCAAAAAAGGAAAAAAAAAAAAAAAGAAATCTTTAAATTATTTATTTGTAACACAGCAATCAGGATAAAATTACCTCATATTATACAACTATTATGATACCAATAATGAAATAAAGTAAAGGTGTTAAACATAATGCTGAGGATAATAGCAAAATTTTTATTAGAGTGGCACTAAAAATGTTACTGTACATTAAATTGTACTGTTAATAAATTATATTATTATTTAACAAAATTAATACTTACAGCTGATATAGACATCTGCACTTTAGTCCATTGTGTTATAGGAGAGTCAGAGGTATGAAAGTGATGCTCAGCATGAAGAAGCATTGTTGAAGAAAATATATAAAGCATGCACAAACTTCCATGCAGAGCTGCATCCTGTAAGATTAACAAAATTTCAATTTAAATAAAAAAAACTCTGAAAGATTTTACATTAACGTTTTGTGCGTTACCTTTATTTATTAAATATCATGTTCTTCGCATTTAAACCATAAAATTCAGTTCAACAGCAATATCCCAAAATTATCTTAAAATGAGCATAGCTTTAGAAATTCTGATGAACAGTCTCGTGCTTTGGAGATAAAAATATTTTTTCAGTAGTGTTGCCATTGCTCGCTTTGAATTCATTGAGTTTATTAACCAAAAATTCACAAAATATGAAAGAGAAAATAAAACAAATTTCAAATTCCAAATTAGGGCTTTCAGAAGCCCATATTCAGGTGGAAACGTTCAATATTAAAAATTTTATGGCTCTATGTATCATTGTTTTATCACAATGTGAGAAACATACATACATTTATGCAGATTCTTCATTATTTAATTTCATTAAATATAATACAGGGCTCTAATATTTGGTGGCAACAATTTGAAAAGTGAAATCACATTTATAATGAACCAACACAAAATGCCAAAACAAAATTAATAGTCCTTTTGGCCAAATAAATTGCTCCTTTGGACTAAAAAGTATGGAAACCTTAAAAGGTAACCTTTCACAATAAATACACCTTAACTGTGTAGTTAAAGGTATAACACCTTTCACAATAAATACACCTTAACTCTGTAGTTAAAGGTATAACACCTTTCACAATAAATACACAGTTGACTCTGAACCCGAGACATTAATCTTTTGCACTTCTAGGAACTTGTGCATAAGTTTTGACTTATGCCAAAAAACATCTTTATTAATCAGGGCTGGGGAGTCGGAACTGGAGTTAGGCTGATTTTTAGTTAAAAGGAGTAGGAGCTGGAGTCGCTAAAAAAACATGAACTCCGAATCCAGTTTCTGTTGGACAGTTTGAATTTGAAACGAAATTAAAGTTAACTAAAAAAAATATAAAAAAATTAACGACAAACTGAGTTATTATTTCTATTTATGGACTATATACATTAACAAATAGTTATTTTCTATTTTAGTGACCTATTAATAAATAAATATAAGGGATGAGAATGGATGTGATATTTGTCGTTATTGATTAAAATGATTCATTTAGTTACAAATATCAATGGTAGCAGCAATAATAGCAAGAACTCCCAAAATTAGTGGCATTCTTAGGAAGCAAGCAGAAAAAGGAGAAAGTATTGATTAAGCAATGTGATGGGGAAGTACATATTTGATGATATAGAAATTGTTAGAATTAAGAACTTTTTCAGAAGTTGTAGATAACCCTAATGTTTCCACAGAAAGACTGTGGAATGACCTTGCAGAATTGGAAACTCTTCTTTCTGCACCATATATAGCGACAAACAGGGGCGTAGCTAGAGGGCGACAAGGGGGGGGCATCTGTCCCTGGGTGCAGAATCCAAGGGGCGCCAAACTGATGTTACGACATTTTAGAATTAAATGTTTTCCATCCTTGGCAAGCAGTAGGGGGCGCGAAATCTTCAGTTGTCCCTGGGCGCTGAAAACCCTAGCTACGACTCTGGCCACAAAAAAGCTATAGTCCGAAGAATTAACAGGAGGCAAGAATGGAAAAATGTGATGTTTGTTCTTTCTTATTGCAGAAGGAATTATTTTTTCAATGAAGAAAAGAGAAACTAGTTTGCTAGACAATGAGGTCTTGCTGGGTTCAATATATGTAAATGAAAACACCGAATTTTGTTGGATGACGAACAAATTAAAAAGCCAAAGAAAGCCATCTAAGAAGTTTCATTAAGAAGGAAATTATTGTCAGAATAATTGGAGTATTCAAACTAGGAGAGTCAAACTGCAGAGACTGCAACCTAGCCTCTATCATTCTCTTCCAGTCATGAATTAGATTCCGAGAAATATTTGGATAATATTGAAAATGCTAAGGCAAAGCGAATGAAGATAAAGAACCAGGAGCCTTTAGATATAAAAATGAAAAAACACAAACAAGATTTCTAAACAGATTTTAAATAAAGAAATATGATGGCTCTTGCAAGACATCTCTTTTAGAACTTACAAAAATCTATCCTGAAAAGTTAAAAAAAGTAGCCCTAACAGTAACAGCTTTCCTCCTACTCAAGTTAGTTTGGAAAGACTGTTCTCAGCTCTGAAGTATATCACATTGTATCTACAATCCTCTAACAAAGAAGATCTTGCCAAAGTTATACTGTTTCTTAGAAATTACTAATGCCAGTTTTCAATTTCATAATAAATGTTAATTAATACAGTCAAAAGTCGTTAATCCGGACTCGTTGGGACTTCAGCGATTCCGGATTATCGATTTTTCCGGATTATAGATCATCAGTTTAAATCTCGTAAGATGGCATGCAGAAATTCTAAAATTAAAAATATGAAACCGTAATTTATGAAATCAATTATGATCTAAAGGGTATCAAAATTTACAAAAAAAAAGCTTAATATTTATTTGTTTACTTTATTAAACATTTCTTTCAATGCGCGCACATGTAAAGCGTACATTACGCATAGTCGAAATTAGAAAATTGCAACCAGAAAACTATTTGATGTGTATTCCTGATATTTATAATGATGAGGAATTTGATTTAAATCATATCAAAGATGGAGTACAATGAGATGAAATACTACATTTAGTAAGGAATTATAAGCCAAATAAAATAAAAATATCTTCCCTGAAGATAAGGATAGTGCTGACAGATCAACTTCCAATTCATTGCGTGCTGCGACGTCCCCCCCCCCCACAGAGCAGCGTGAAATTGATAAACAGATTTTGGAATGATTAGAGAAACAAATCACCTCTCTGTCACTTTCTTCATACCTTTATCCATTTCTTGCAGCAATTCTACTTTTTGTTTGATGGACATCAAAACATACTTTCATTTTGTAGATCCTTTGGGAGCTCCAGCATCGGAAATTCTATTTGACATAATCGAAAGTTCAAGCTTGCTTTTATAAAATTGCTCTTACAGTCTGCAAAAAATAATATGCCGGATCCAATTCAAAGATTAAGGAACAACGCAATCATCAACATTAACTGAAATAGATAATTAGATAATTTTAGCTTATACCGTCCGTTATACATTAAATGCGCATGCAAAAACGTATTCTGCGCTTGCGCACACGCATATGCGTAGTCGCAAAGATCTTACGCGCACGCATAAACGCCTATGCGCATGTGTCAACGCGGCACATGCACAGAAAGTTTTTAGCTTATAGGTCCAGATTATAGATCATTCCATATTATGGGTGTCCGAATTAACGACTTTTGACTGTATAAATAATTTGTTAAGCCATCATCATTTTTGAGTAGCATCTATAACTTCTTTTAGATTAAAAACAATAAGCTGTTACACATGTTTACATATATACGAGGGAGTCAAAGTCTTTAAAATTCCACGAGTCCGAGTCTGCTATTTTCCTTACCGACTCCACAGCCCTGCTATTAATAATCTACAATAAACCTTACTGATAATATTTTTAAAAAAGCAGAATGATATCAGAAATATCTTTATATACATAACAGAAATATCCTAGACTTTCCAAAACTTTTGAAGGTTACATTACTTCGCATTTATATCTGTGGGACTTAGCAAGAGTTGCATAGCATAAAACACACAGTTAACTTCTGACTTATGACTTAATGGTATTGACATTCATGGTTTAACACTTTTTGCAGTAATTAAGCCCTGGTTTGTTTCTGAGCTTTTCAAACTGTTGCAAATTTAAAAAGGAAGGTCATTTTTGTCATAGAGGTCACTGTGAAAGCAAATCACCAGCCTAAATTGCACAACATGAAAATAATATCAAGAAAAAATGAAAAAAATAACAAAAACATTAAACACTACAAAAAGAAATAAAACAAAATTACATCCACATTTATTTCTTGCATATAGTTTCTAACAACTCAAGGTGCTGAGACATATATAAAATTCTTTCATAAAAAAGGCATACTAGCTCTTAAAAAAAAATAGATGATAATGATCACTAGATGCACCTATATATTAACAATGAAACAATTTGGAAATGCAGTGTTTAACATTGTAAAAGTAGAAAAGCATTTGTGTTGGAAATTTTTCTTATGGTTATCAGCTACCTTTTCTAAAAGCATTGCAGGTGATTTACATTTAGGCTGAACTCTTGTCTATTAAATGGTTTAAGGATTTAAAATTGGGTAAAATAGCTATATGCTTCCTTAAGATATTAAGTAGAGCTGATTTTCAATCGAAGATTAATGGGTGATGTGCAGAATCCCCCATTTATTTGGCACATTTTGTTTGGTGCTTTCACAAGAGTAAGAAGAATTGGATTTTTGTCAATTTCCATTTACTTTTTAAGTGAAAATAGATTGATGTGTACATTTACAAAGAGAGTGTGCATTGCCGAGTTTGTCCAATTCTCTGATATTCCTTTAAGCGAAAATAGGTTAATGTGTACATGGATACCGAGTTTCTGCAATTCTTAAAAATGCACAAAGCAGTCAGTGATTTTACACTTTCCCCAGATTAATTAACAAAAGCAATAATTTTGATACTTTTCCTGTTATCAGGACCGGATTTAGAAATACATGCATGTGTGCCTGAATGTATGTGGGTATATGGGGGGGTACACTACTCTTATGGTTATACAGTATAAAGTCCGTAATCTGGACGTCCATTATCCAGAATGATCTATAATTCGGACCTTCAAAGCCACAAACTTACGCATGCGCATTTGATGCACGTAAAGCCAGTAAAGGTTTATCCATGCGCGCTTCCAATAGTGAAGAAAGTAACAGAGAACGTTATTGAAAATGAAAAAATTTTGATTAGTTGGTATTCTCGACACAGCAATTACAGGACTTGAACAGTGAAACTTTGTAATTGAACAAGAAATTATATCTGTTTATAGAATTAAAGAGAAAGTATTAGCACGAAAAACGAAGCAGCTTAAACAACTTACATTGATAGAAATGTTTACTAAAGTAAACACATAAAGAACTACTCTGATATGCACCCTCAAATCGCCAAATTTCGCGCCAAATATTTTTGGCGAGAAACTTCACGCTGCCATATTACTATCTAAATTTTTTGTCTACATTTCGAACTTTTAGCCTAAAATGTCTCCAAAAACGCGGTTTTTCGCACATGCAAAAATTACGTTTTTCAACATACAATTTAGCTAAAAATCCGAAAGAAAAACAAAAAATTTAGATAGCAAAAACGTAAAGTTTCTAACCAAAAATATTTGACAAGAATCCATGTACACCGGCGACATGTTTTAACTTAAAAAACATCTACGAATGGCACAATGTAGGCAACGAACGAATCTATAACTAAAACTACGCACACCCTCGCTTTAGTAAATTAACATAACAACAATAAATTTCAAAGAATACCATGTACACAGCATCCTGTTTAAACTTAAAAAAAAATCTACGAATTGCACAATTTAGGCAAGGAAGGAATCTATGATCTACGCACTCCTTGCTTTAATAAAATAACATAACAACAATAAATTTCAAATAATACCATGTACACAGCATTCTGTTTCAACTTTAAAAAACATCCACAAATTGCACAGTCTAGACACTAAACAACAAAATAAATTTCAAACAATTTAAAAAAACAACAATAACGACAGAAATTCATACTAAAGAACCAATGAACATAACATTCTACAAAATAAGAACAAGGATAAAATAAAATGCACTTACCATGAATTAATGCGTTTTCGAATAGCAGAAATATAAATTTCATACCGCCTTTAACATGCCGCCACGTAACCACTATCGTATTTACATGACAGCCAGACACACAATCCAGAAAATTTATACTATGGTTCACAAATAAATAAAATCACAAATCCCTACTTCTATCATGCAGTGCCATTAAAAATAATCTCCCAGACCCTCTTTCCACACTTCCAAATACCCACTACCCCTCAACAGGATAGCCACAATGATATTTCCTTTTGCCGAACTTCAATTCAACAACTACCATTTTATGTTTCCCTCCCATCTTCTCAGACACAGAGGTGAATCAACGAGCTCCAGCGAAAGATTTTTTAACATCAACAGGGTTGCCATAGAACACGCAATCGTGCCAAAAACCAGCGCAGAACACATATCGCCACATTTGGTGAAATTAGGGCGTACATTAGAGTTGTACCACAAATAAATATTAACCCTTTTTTTTTTTTTTTTTGTAAATTATGATACCCTTTAGATCATAATCGCTCTTTATTTCATAAATTATGGTTTGATATTTTTAATTGTATAATTTCTGCATGTCATCTTACTAGAAATTGATGATCTACAATCCGGAAAAACTCCTAATCCGGAATCGCCGAAGTCCCGACGAGTCCAGATTACGGACTTTGTACTGTACTATTTTTCTACCTATTACTGCCTCTTTAAGTATATAGGTAAGTATATTATCTATTACAATTACAGCATCTTTCAAGTATATAGGTAATTATTATGTGACGAATATATGATGTTAATGACAGTTAAATAAAATAATAATCATATTATAAATTTTATTTAATAATAAATTATGTAACATAATTATGGATATATTTATATTTATGTATTTATAATTATTATTCCTATGGCTATACTATTTTTTTCTACTTATTACAGCATTTTCAAGTACAGTCAAAAGTCTTTAATCCGGACTCGTCGGGACTTCGTCGATTTCGGATTATCGGTTTTTCCGGATTATAGATCATCAGTTTAAATCTGGTGAGATGGCATGCAGAAATTATAAAATTAAAAATATGAAACCGTAATTTATGAAATACAGAGCAATTATGATCTAAAGGGTATCAAAATTTAACAAAAAAAAAAAAAGCTTAATATTTATTTGTTTACTTTATTAAACATTTCTTTCAACGCGCGCATGTGTCAAGTATATATTATGCATAGTCGAAATTAGAAAATTTCAACCAGAAAACTATTCGATGTGTATTCGTGATATTTATAATGATGAGGAATTTGATTTAAATCATATCAAAGACAGAGTACATCGAGATGAAATACTACATTTAGTAAGGAATTATAAGCCGAATAAAATAAAAACATCTGCCCTGAAGATAAGGATAGTGCTGACAGATCAACTTCCAGTTCATTGCGCGCAGCGATTTTCCTATAGAAATCCATACAAAATATGCTGAAAATCAGAATGATAATGAATTAGGCCGGAGTTTCTATTTCATGAAAGGACTGAAATTATACAAGTCATAAATGTACAATACGATAAGTCATAAAATCTCCTTGTAATTAATTATTAATAACAAATTCATTTACTTACGATAATATTCCAATATATAGGAAAACTTTCAACAAGGGTCGTTATTCCAAGCAGAAAAAATCCAACAGCAACAAGAATGGCAAAAACAGTTACAAAAATATGAGCACGTACAGATGATGAAAATGGCATGTCCAGCACATCAATGTCAGTTGATCCAGCACTTGTCAAGCAACCTAAGCTTATTGTAGAACAAATCTAAAAAAAATACAGAAAATTTTGAGACACAGATAAAAAAATTACATTTTAAGGTTGATCTTTACATTATGGTAACTTGGCGATTTTTGGGCGAAAATTTGGCAACCAACTCTCCTACAGCAACCCTCTATTTTTTTTCCCCCCGCTGCCATTTTGTCTTCACTAAGTAAAGACATGTTTCTTTTCTTTTTATCTACTGAACACTTCTTCCAACAATCTACTAGCCAAATTACACTTATGCTAGAAATTTTATCAAACAAAACTGCTTAATCATGACAAATATTCACTGCAAAATTGGGAAAAAGTGCACAATACCATACTCCTTACGCGTTTTTCAAAATAACACATACACATAAACCATGTACAAGCCAAATTACTTTTACTTAAAAAACATCCCCAGAATTGCACAAAAATGGCATTGAGCTACACTCTTCACTATATCCATGGTACACTGCTTTTTTCTCATAAATTAGAAAAGTTTAAAAAAAACGAAAATACATGACAATTTTCTCAATCTTTAAAACCCAGTAAAAGAACATATATGAAATTACCTGATCGTGAAAAGTATTTACCCTTTCCAAATATGAACATTTCCACATATAAAATAAATAAAATATCCAAAAACTTTTACCTCTAAATCATCTATTATATTATACATGTCACCAACGAATTCATACCGCAAGCATTACAAATACTTAGTATCAAATATTTAAATTATTTCCATGCACATTTACTTCAACTTAAATGTATACCAAATTTGGTACTATTCCGTTTTGAGGACCGTAAAAAATCGCCAAACTATCGTTGATGCCAGTGCTGCCAAAAATAATTGCGGCAACCCTAACGCAAAAAAGGAAGTATAATAGTAAATAACTATTTAAAGATTATTGTTTTTAATTTAGATAAAAGGTTAATTTCATATAATACTTTTTTATTATTATAATTTATATGAAAAAGGCTAAACCTGACTGAATGGAAGCATAAGAGTAATAACTATTTCAGATCATTTTTATAATTTATATAAAAAAAAGCTAAACATAACTGAATGGATTCTGCATCGCTATTTCGCTACCGAGTTATCGTTAAAGCATAATTTCATCTTGTTGGTTGTTCAAACATAATTTTCTATAATGAATGATGCCTTTTCTTTGAAAAATTCTTGGTAAACAGTGCAGAATCGCCCACTTATTTGTTTGGCGATTTTTTACAAGGTTAAAAACAATTGAATTTTTATCAATTTTCTTTTACTTTTTAAGTGAAAATAGGCCGATGTGTACATAGATAAAGTCAAGGGTGTGCGCAGTGCCATTTTTGTGCATTCCGGGATTTTTTTTAATTATTTTTTTTTTTTTTTGAAGTGAAAATAAAATAGGTCGAAGTGTACATGGATTGCAGACTTTTCGTCATGGGCAATTCCAAAATTGTTAAATCTATAGGATATCAAAAAAGGATTTGAAATCAAAAAGGATTTAAAAATTAAAACTAGTATTTCAATGGCGTCTTAAGAAATATAGAACTATCTAAAATTACGCAATTTGAAATCAGTGCATACGCTAGATTTGGCGCTCTGTTAAATGGGCGCGTTTGTTAGATTTGGCGCTTTTGCGCATACATTTTCGCTGCAATTTTTTACGGTCCTCAAAACGGAATAGTACCCCAAATTCCTACAAACATAAAATTCACAAAATAACTATCATTTCATTAAAATATAATTAAATTCAAAAACACTACTTAAAATATAAATGAGCACATACATTAAATTAAAAAAAATTACCTTACAATCCTAATTACTTTAAACTAAATCATTGCTAATAACAATTTTCCCAATAATACCAAATTCCTTTCCACCTTACATTTAGAATAATGCATAAAAATAATATCCTCAAATAATTAAAAATACTAACTTACCTAATCTTCTTCAGAATCTTGATTACGTGTCCGATAAACTTTTCTTCTTTCTGTTTCAGGATCTTTAAAATCATACTTATATTTCACAGCAAGGTACCAGGTAAAATAAATAACTTAATAAAACATCTTTATTTCTATCTTGCACAACCTTAAACAAACATTTATTACTACCCTTTTCAATACCACTAAATACCCATTTTGAATTCACTTTAGTTACGGCCATGGGATCCAAAAATTAACCAACACTGTTTCACACAACACAGAATAAAGCCAAATACAAAATTTCCAGATTTTTTCCCGATTCCCCCCTTTTCCGATTAAAGAACCATAATTCGTCCATTAATATCACATGACATATCCCATGATCTCTCATTTCCCTCACACAAAATAATGCGTAATCGGAACTGAGTACTGCTCACATTATTACCAAAGTCCCAGGTATTAACCTTTATCGCCTCCAAAATGTCGCCAAACTACCAGTTACCATATTGTAAAGATCACTCCATTTTAAATTTAATATTATACAGTCAAAAGTCGTTTATCCGGACTTGTCGGGACTTCGGCGATTCCGGATTATCAATTTTTCCGGATTATAGATCATCAGTTTAAATCTCGTAAGATGGCATGCAGAAATTCTAAAATTAAAAATATGAAACCATAATTTATGAAATAAAGAACAATTATGATCTAAAGGGTATCAAAATTTAGAAAAAAAAAAAGGATAATATTTATTTGTTTACTTTATTAAACATTTCTTTCAATGTAAGTTGTTTAAGTTGCTTCGTTTTATGAGATACTTTCTCTTTAATTCTATAAACAGACATAATTTCTTGTTCAGTTACAAAGTTCCGGTATTCAAGTCCCGTAATTGCTGTGCTGAGAATACCAACTAACTTGTCAATCGAAATTTTTTCGTTTTCACTAACCTCTCTGTCACCTTCTTCATGTCTTTATCCATTTTTTGCAGCAATTCCACTTTTTGTTTGATGGACATCGGAACATACTTTCGTTTTGTAGATCCTTTGGGAGCTCCAGTATCGGAAATTCTATTTGACATAATCGAAAGTTCAAGTTTACTTTATAAAATTGTTCTTACAGTCTGCAAAAAATAATAAGCCGGAAATAATTCGAAGATTAAGGAACAACGCAATCATCAACATTAACTGAAACAGATAATTTTAGCTTATACCGTTCATTATACATAAAACGCGCATGCGAAAACGTATTCTGCGCTTGTGCACACACATATGCGCAGTCGTGAAGGTCTTACGCGCACGCGCAAACGCTTATGCGCATGTGTCAACTCGGCGCATGCGCAGAAAGTTTTTAGCTTTGAGGTCTGGATTATAGATCATTCCGGATTATGGGTGTCCGAATTAACGACTTTTGACTGTATAGAAAAAACATCATGTATTATAGTCATGTAAATTTTTGATTTCCTGCATAAAAATTTTACTTTGTTCTCCATATATTTTTGTTTTAACACAACAGTGATAAAACAGAAATCTACACTTGATTTTTAAGAAATGATTGCTCACATAATTAAAGAAACCTACCTTATTTTTAAAACAAAACTATGCATGTAAGCACTTAATTAGATTAATTACAAAAAATTCAGTTTTTTTAAAGGGGCTTAAAATAGTATATTATATCTTGTCAATGACTGAATACCATTTAAAAGCATGGCAGTAACTCAATAAAGAATGTTAACTTATTTCTAGTTCAACTGTGCTGTATTTATAGAGCTTTTAGCATCATTATAGTGACACTTCACAATGAACACAATCTATTCTAAGATGGTGTTAGTTAAAAAGGTACTTATGTATTAATGCCAGCTGCAGATTTGGTGGTTATTAAGTGCCGCCAATCTACACCTAAAATTTTTACGACAAATCATAAATTAAAACACTTTATTTAAAATCAAAGTAATCAATCGGATTCTGGTGCAAAATGGGCCAATATAGAGTTTAACATAGATTCAAAACAGTCTATTTTCTTTGACCTGATGCTATCACCATATGAACTCTGCTAAATAAGATTCTAAATGGTGTCTCATTGTCTCCCCCCATGTCTTTTGTTGCCTATGTTCTCTCAACTGTTTGTGTATGAACTCCTGTATCAGGATGAATAGGATTGTATTTACGATTAACTTTAGCATGTAGGAATCCTTTTTTTATTCTATTTGTTTGGTAACCTTTCCAACTGTCAGAATAAATTATGCTACCATCTGCAATGTTTTTATGCTTTCAATAATTTTATAAGGAAGGGTAGAGCCAGTTCTATTAGCGACAGTGACAACAAAGGAATCTTTTACCTCTCTACATATACCACCAAACACCCACTGTTTGAGTAATACTCGACCACAATTATTTTTACACTTCGTAAACAAACTTTCATAATTTCCACATTGCAATCTGGTCCACCTACATTCTTGTTTGGTTTATTCGCCATATCCAAGACACATAATTTACGCATGTAATTGTTCCAATCTATAACAGTTTTATCCAATAAATCAAGTTGCTTTTCACAAAATTTAATCGACGTCAACTCTTTGCAGCAGCAGTATATGAATCTCAAAGATGAACAAAACGGAATTCTGCTTCCTTCAAACCAGGTGTCTTTTCTAAGTTCCACTTGATGATCACACTGTCTTAAATTACATTTCCAAAATTTATGTTTAACCAAAATAAAGTTTCATATCATGCGAATTGGTACATTTTTGTTTTTTGGTAAAATATTTCACTCCTGAAAAAATATAATTGAATCTTCTTCTGTGTTTGGCAAATCCCAAAGACACATTTTTGTAGCACTAAAAAATGGCATCAAAAATCAGCAAACAACAAGGCAAAAAGTAATCCAAAAGATAACCATGTGAGAACAACAGGATTGTTCTTTATTGGCACATCAACACAACTTCTGCTGCGGTGGCATTAATATGTAAGTACTGTTATGCAAGACAGTGGTTTCAAGTGACAAACCCCGTGCAGCTCCTGAAGCAATTTTATGTTGCCTGCCAATGCATTTCAGTTGAATATTTGTTTTCATACAGTGCTTATTGATTTCAATGCAGCATAAATTCACTGGGCAATGGATTGCAATATACTATGTACTATTAAGAAAATGGAGAAGTACTAACAAACATTTCAGCAGTCATTACATTTCAACTGAGTTTGAAGCTAGAGCTGGCACACAGCCAAAACTACATTATGTAACACATATAAGTGCTCTGTTAGACACACAAAAAAAGCTAAGGGAGAAAAAAGGATATTAATCATCCCATCTCAGGAAATGAGGATTTAAAATACAAATATAAACAACATTAGACACACAAACATTATACATTATTACAAATTATTTCATATTCTGAACTGTTTAAAGTTGAAGCTTAATACAGATGCATCTTCAATCACAGATGTAAATTTTATTAATGCTAATAGCAACTAGTTTCAGACTTTCTGAAATGGGATGGTATTTTTGAAACAATCCACTACAAACTACAATATTATTAGCATCCATAAATGCTATTTTTAATTGGATAAATATAAATTAATTTTTTAAGAAAAGTCGACACAAAAAATTATTGTACAGCACAAATCTGGGCAACAAGACTTAGAATACAGTAGACAAATAAGGTAATGTAGTACTATTTGGTAGGATCTATTTCTTAGAAAGGTAAAAGTTTACAATTGGGTGCCCCTTGTTTTTTTGACGCCAAGATCGGCGCCAGGAGGACACAATTTCAAGATGGCCGCTACACAAAACCAAAATAAAAAGTCAAAGAATTGCAAAAACTCTGTGTCCATGTACACATCGATCTGTTTTCACTTAAAAAAAATCCCAGAATTGCACAAACTAGGCATTGCGCACTGTTTAAATTTGTCCATATACACACGAATCTATTTTTATTTTTTTAAAAATTATGAGTCTAAAGCAAAGTTACACTATCATGGTAACCAGAAATAAGATTTCATCGCCAAAATTTTACAAAAAATTGTCGCTAATCGAAGGGGCACCCAATTCTACACTAGAGCCTACAAAACACTAAATTTGAATTTAAATTTTTCAGCTGCATATAAAATACAGAAATTAACTAATAATATTACCTATCAATCAACAATTAAAATAATACACAACAAATTAAGAACAAATACAGTTAAAATGTTTACAATTAAACTCAGCACTTTCAACATAGACTAAACTAAGCCACTGTTAAATAAGTAAATTGTCCTTTCCATTTAATATGCCATATTTTTTGGAATAAAGCTAACTTTTCTGGAATAGTTTCTTCTTTCAAGAGAAATAATAAATGAATGGCTAAGTCACATATTAATGTGCTAGAAATTCCCTGCTTATAGTGAATAAAAAAATACACCTACATGCAAACATAACATACCCAAAGAGCAAGCCTTAATATTCCTTCTGGTTTATTACAATAACTATTATGCCATTCCAGAATAACAGCTAGTCTGACAGCTTGTTCACTACTAACAGAACTAGGCGTTCTTCTGATATTTCCATCGACACCAGACAAACAACCAGCATCACTTAATTCTTCAAGTTCATCCAGTGAAATATTTCTAAGGGTAGATTCTTCAACAAAATGTCCAAAACCACTTTTACTATGACGCGTTATACTGTCACTAATCGAATTTTCGTCTTTTTCGCTTTCACCCGAATGGGTTTGAACAAAAACGTTCATTTCATTCCCTTCCATACTTTATAGTACAGTGCAGAGTAAGAACACATTAATTTACCTTTCCTTAAGGAAAGATATGTATCATTTAATTGAAATTTTCCTTAACATATTTTAGCCGCTATACACTGACTAACATAAACAAATAATTTAGAAGTTGCAGTGTTTATTATTATGTTTTTCATGAATTTCAATGAATCAGAAAAAAAAAAAGTTTTTTTTTGCTTTAGATCTTGCATTTGAATTTATGTGTTATAACGTGATAAAAAGTTTTAGCTAGCCACTACCCAAATTTATTAACGTAGTTACCAAAGGTACCTCGACAGAGTAGGTAAATAACATGAATTGGTTCAAATTTCTATGAATTGAAAAGAAGGAGGATGCTCGCTACTCAACCGCCTCTTTGTTATTTTCGTCTCTACTTTCATGATGTTCTTTCTATAAAGTAATAATTTGTGTTTATTATTTAATATAAGTTTGACAAAGGGAAAGCAAACGAAAAAAAAAATGTCTGATAAAGATTATGCTCCACTTAGCTCTTATTGCGTTCGGGCTCTCAACGACAAACTTTATGAAAAGCGTAAAACAGCAGCATTAGAGATAGAAAAGTAAGTTTTTCCAAGTTCGTATTTGTATTAAAGAAGTAATATCGGTTTATATTTATTTCTGATTTCTTTATATTTTATAGAATGGTTAAAGATTTTCAAAGAGTCAATGAGACAACAGAAATAAGAAAATTACTTAAAGTATTAGGCCAAGATTTCACATTATCTCATAATGTCAATAGTAGGAAAGGAGGTTTGATTGGACTTGCTGCAATGGCTATTGCTTTAGGAAAGGTGAGACTGTTTTTATTGAAATTATAGTTTAAGTAGCATTAGATTTAATCCGCGAGAACGCTCACTGAATATCCCATAATTGGAAGACATTTAATAGTAACTTCGTCAGTGCCGGCAAAATTTTTTTAATTTAAGAAGCACAGGGCAGTAGAATTTAGAAACGGCAGATATTAATTAATTGGGTAAAAATATATTTACGGGTGCCCCGTGGTGAATTTTGGTGGTACAAAGATACCGAGTTTGTGCAATTCTTTGACGTATTTTGGCGCCGCTACACAAAGACAAAATAGCAAGTCAAAGATTTGCACAAACACGGTATCCATGGACACATCGACCTATTTTCGCTTAAAAAAACATCAGAAAATTGCACAAATTTGGCATTGTGCACTCTCTTGACTTTATCCATGTACACATCAAACTATTTCCATTTAAAAAGTCAAATGAGCAGTCAACAAAAAATATATAATCTCAATAAACTATATTTTAAATCAAAGGTTTAATCCTAGTATCCGGTGCACACGGGATTTGGCTACTTTGCGACTTTATGAGGAGCAATAAAAACGGGACATACACGATGAGTAGTAAACGGGTCATTCAAAGAATATATATAGTTGTACATAGTATATATTTAGTATATAGTGTATAGTATATACATAGACGTTGTTTGGGTATGTATATAGTGTAAAGTACATAGACGTTGTTTGGGTCATTTTTGGTGTTGCCGATAATTTTCAAAATCGCGCCAAGGCTGCACCGTATACTAAGATTTTACCAAATCAAATAGCATAAAAAAGGAAATTTATCTTAGCATTAAACAAAAGAAATATCCACTTATCTTATTTAGAAATTTCCAATCAAACAAAATTTTTTAACAGCATCTAAAAACTTGCTAAAATTATCTGAACTAGAACTAGTCACCACATAAATTCACAAAAATAAGAGTGAAAAATTTCCTCCGACGTTCAACTATATGTAGTTCCTTCCAACAAACAGGATACTTAATAATGGCTATTAAGTAAACCTTCATTTACACACCAGTCAATTAATGCTCTTTTACCCTTTTGTTCCAAATCATACAGGAACTTCAAATTAATCTTACCACATTCAGCCTTTCCACCATCTGAACCACAAAACAAGCAATGTACTTCCTAATTAACACACACCACAAACCTTTTTCCCATCATTCAAAATTTACGGCTTTCGTGCAACCGATTATGTCATAATAGGGTTTCCATAACGTTCAACTACTTAGGTTACCATAAATGAAAATATAACTTAGCTATAATAAAAGGGGCACCCAATTAGTTGCCTCTCCATTTAAATGAGAAACTAAGATTTTGTGGTTATACAGTCAAAAGTCTTTAATATGGACTCGTCGGGACTTCTTCGATTCCGGATTATAGATCATCAGTTTAAATCTGGTAAGATGGCATGCAGAAATTACAAAATTAAAAATATGAAACCGTAATTTATGAAATAAAGAGCAATTATGATCTAAAGGGTATCAAAATTTACAAAAAAAAACAACTTAATATTTATTTGTTTACTTTATTAAACATTTCTTTCAACGCGCGCATGCGTAAAGCATACATTACGCATTGTCGAAATTAGAAAATTGCAACCAGAAAACTATTTGATGTGTATTCCTGATATTTATAATGACGAGGAATTTGATTTAAATCATATCAAAGATGGAGTACATCGAGATGAAATACTACATTTAGTAAGGAATTATAAACCGAATAAAATACGTAAAAACATCTGCCCTGAAGATAAGGATAGTGCTGACAGATCAACTTCCAGTTCATTGCGCTCCACGACGTTCCCCCCCCCCGCAGAGCAGCGTGAAATTGATAAACAGATTTCAGAATGGTTAGAGAAACAAAGGATATGCCTTTATCCATTTTTTGCAGCAATTCCACTTTTTGTTTGATGGACATCGAAACATCCTTTCGCTTTGTAGATCCTTTGGCAGCTCCAGAATCGGAAATTCTTTTTGACATAATCGAAAGTTCAAGCTTACTTTTATAAAATTGCTCTAACAATCTGCAAAATATGATAAGATGGATCCAATTCGAAGATTAAGGAACAACGCAATATGCAGCATTAACTGAAATGGATAATTATATCGTTTTAGCTTATACCGTCCATTATACATTAAACGTGCATGCGTAAACGTATTATGCACATGCATAAAGGTATTTTGTGCATGCGTAAATGCATTATGCATTTACGCATGCGCATAAAGTCTAGCTTTAAGGTCCGGATTGTAGGTCATTCCAGATTATGGACGTCCGGATTAAAGACTTTTGACTGTATTTAAATAAGTTAAATATTTTATTTGGTTTTATTTTTGCATACTGTACATAAATTGTGCACATGTTTTTGCCACATTTTCCTGTGCTTTATGCGCACTCCCACCAAAAGGTCACAAACTCATTACCGACTTTGGAGAGAAGTGTTTGATTGGGTATTTTTATATCTGTTTTAATCATGCATCCATTTTTGCCTACATTTTATATGGATTTTTAAAAAAATACCTTTACAAAAAATCCTTCATTAATTTGTTTGTGCTGTTGTTCTTCTCATATACACAGTGATTTGTTTTCATTAAAAAAATTGCAGAATTTCAAAAACTCAGCATTGCTTGTAGGTTGGTCGTAATCACGACCTGCCAACAATAATTAAAACCTCAATGTAAGTTTCAACATAGTGAAAGTTTTACAATTCTACAATTTCATTGTTATTAATTACCATAGAAACAAGTGCACTGAATGCAAAAATACCAAACAGGAAAATTACTGTAAAATTTTTAAATGCAAATCTACATGTACTCAAGCATATCTGTGCTGTGCACATACCTGGGTTATGACATAAATATTTTTGTATAGCATCGTATTTTGCCTCATATTTTTTTGCAGCTTTCTATGAGGATTCAGATAATCAATAAGCACCCATTTTTTGTAGAAAAAACAAGTACAGTGAAAGCTTGAGAAATATTGGATAACTAAAAACTCAATAGTTGAGTGTATAAAATATGCTATTCAAGGTAGAAAATGAATGAAAGAAGAAAGTTCTTGTTTAAAATTATAAAATGCCGTCTAATTTACTGTAAGTTTGAATATTAACCCTTTCAACCCAACTTTTTCATGATTAAAATTTAACTCTAAGAAGTAGCTTAATTTAATGTTGATGTACTAAAAGAAGTGCAATATGAGTTTAAAGTTTATAACTTTTCCCATTTCCTGAAAATCTCCTGGGATAATAAATCCCAATCATATTGTCAACTGGGACTATTTGTTCCAATCATCTAGGATATTACCCTTTCTCAGGAAACAAAACTAAAATTTGTAGTAATATATGTGAATATTACAAAACGTAAACTCCGCCACATGTACCAGTTCATATGCAACAAAAATTTTCATATACATTTCATAAACATAAGCATAATATATCAGCATGTAGTAATTTGATCACTGATGGGATATATTAACCCACCATTAAATATGATTGGGACAATATAGCACACAAAAAGAATTTATTCAAAATCTGGCATTAAAAAAGTTAAATTACTACTTAATAAGAACCATTTCATACAAAGCATGCCTTCAATCTCATTGTATTTACTGTAATTTTTTTTTAAAAAAATAGATAAATCGAAACTAAAGTAATTAATGTGGTCAAAAACATAAGTGCTCCATTTGCAAGTTAAAAGTGTTACCATGTTTCTTTAGTTGTATATTTGTTCCCTAATTCCTTAAAAACACTGCAAATGTAAATACCCATTTAAAAGTGGGCTTTAAATAGGCTATAAAATCTAATCTCTGGAACATTTGTGTCCATTAGGACCGGAAGGTTTAAAAGACTAATCTAAAAATTATAATGTACCGCATATATAACATACCTTGAATGGGAAATGTGCAAAGTGCAATGAATTAATACAATGAATCTCAAAGTACAGTATAGAATTTTAAACTAACTTTATAGGAATTTTTCATAAAAGTTATCTATATGTTTGTTTTTATATCCAAATCCTCTGTTCTCACCTTTGTTTTGCGAAATCCGAAAACCTTTAAAATTAGCGGCTATCATCATCAAATTTAGCTGTCCTTCACTATGCATATTTGGCTATGCATCATGAGCTTGGCAACTAACAAGTTGTTCCGTTAATTTTTTTCTTGCTTCTATCGCACACTGAGACAATTAAGCCTGAATTGAATTATTTTAGTTATTTATTATAATTATGTCTATCTCTTGCACATGCTTAAGGCTTATCAGAGTCCTGAATAAATGTGGTGTCTTAAGTATATGTGGGAATAATAAATTTCTACTTATTGAGGGCCAGCGCTAGATATTTTACTGCCTGATGCAGTCTCTGGGGTCCTAATTCTGTGACTCAGTGCGGCCATACGAGCCCTGGCGCTGGTTCCGAGTTTATGTGAATAACAAATCAGTTATTCTTAATTCAAATAGCCCTAAATATATAAATTTAGGTCTATAAGTATCATCAACAAAATACTTTTTTAGCATATGGAAAGAAATTTTTGGTGAATTTTAACTCATCAACATTTTGCTGATCTTTGGAATATGGTAACTGGTAGTTTGGCGACATTTTGGAGCGATAAAGGTTACACCTAGGACTTTGGTATAATGTGGGAATTACTCAGTTCTGATTACGCATTATTTGTGGAGGGAAATGAGGATCATGAGATATGCATATGCCATTAATGGTTGAATTACAGTTCTTTAATCGAAAAGGGGGGAAATCTGGAAATTTTGTATTTAGCTTTCTTCTGTGTTGGTTGAAACAGTGTTGGTTAATTTTGGATCCCTGGCCAGGTGGCGTCATCAACGATTATAATGTTTCGTTTTCAGATGTGTGCCAAGCAGATTATGCAGCAATTGAGCCAAATTACTGATTGTACAAATTTATGCTAAAATGATTGTTTCTTCACCAACAAGGTATTTTATTTAGTGTTGAAGTGAAATTAAGAATGGGGATTCTCCAGATGTTTTATTATGTCCAGAGGGGGGGGGACTCAAATGCGCATGCGTAAAGTTAGTGGTTTTAAGGTCCGAATTTTAGATCATTTCGGACTTTGTACTGTACATCAATAGCTGCTTTCTTAAATCTAAAAGAATATACAGTCAAATATCTGTTCATGGACATTCCATCGTAGTGAATGCTTTCCATTAGCACACGATTTCTAAATCCTTAGAAGATCAAGATTGTGCCAGAACGACTATCAAGAGATCTAAATGAATATTAAGTCCGTAAATCATTATTTAAATTATTACTTTGTTTTTGTTTATAATTTGTATCTATTTACGTTTATATTATTAAGTTTAAAATTACTTGACCAGCATCTATTGATAGAAGCATGTTTAATATATGTTCACCTCCTAATTCAAATTGTTAGCTGAACAGCTGATATTGGAAAAACTGTTAAGCATTATTATGCCTATTTAATTAAAATTCTTCATTTTATGACTTACATTCCAAATTTAATTATTTGTAGTGAAAATTTGCAAATTACAGCCCTTTAATTTGGGGAAGGGGCTTATTTCCAGGCATCTAGGTGTATACATAGATCTGTATTATGCTTGGAAGATTAGTGCACTCTTATTTAATATACAGTTGCGAATAATGTACAAAATACGTTGGTCCTTTGAGCATTCACTAGAAAAAATTTTGATTGTTTTCTTATTCATTTCTATGATAATAAATGTCAAAATAAAAAAGGAACATAAATTTGTTCTAGAGCTCGTTCTTCAATAATGTCCTTGGTCAAAACTGAGGTGGAATTAGGGGAAATAGCCAGACTTTGCTTTAATTAAAATAATTCTATTGTGAACTTACTAAGCAAGCATTTTTCATTGAGCAAGTTAATATGCTAATATTTTTGTGATTGGTATAGCATGCCATGTAAGTTAATATTGAATATATTGAATTACATAAGTAATGACCAAATTTAAAAACCTAGAATTATTTAAGGAAATGCTGTATACTTCCGTCAAAAATTGGCTAATGAACAAGAGCTTCTGAAGTAAATAGTTCAAAAAACTGATTTGTAGAATATTCAAATGGCATTCAAGTAAGTCATAGTATTTATATAATAGCATCATATTTATTATATATTTATAATGCTGTGAATAGTTTTTTCTTGTAAAATATTTTTTATAATATGCTGCCTTTATATCAAATTGATAGACTTTTTTTTTTTCTTTTTTTCTTAAATCTATTATTCAAATACTAAATGTTTAGATCCAAGCTTACAGAATTTCATATAGTATTTATTTGCTTACTTAATCTTTTTAAATTCTTTTCTGTTTTAGGATACATCTCTTTATGTTGATGAATTAGTGCGGCCAGTTCTTTCATGCTTCAATGATCAAGACACCCGTGTGCGATATTATGCATGTGAAGCTTTGTACAATATTGTTAAAGTTGCAAGAGGATCTGTGCTGCCATTTTTCCCAGATATATTTGATGCAATTAGTAGAGTAAGGAAGTATTATGTATTTACATATGTTTAGCATTGTAGATGATATAGGAAAATTCCGCTATAATATGTGCTAAAAGTCAAGCAAAATTTTATTCTTGCAACCATTTTTTTAATGGGTTAAATCTGTATAGAAAGACACATATCTTAAATCTGTTTGCTCAGATATAATTTTATCATAATTAAGTTGATCTTGGATGAATCGTGCCTAATATAAAAAAATCTTTATATATAATTTATTTTTTAAAATGATTAATTTAAGGTAATAGAAAATATATAATTTAATTTCCTAGTTGTGGAAAAGGAAAAGTAATGCTTTCGTAAGTAATAAAATAGGTACTGTAAAAAGAGAGAAGAATTATGTATATTTTAGCAAAATTTTATTGCAACCATTTTTTTTATGGGTTAAATCTGTATAGAACACATATCTTAAATCTGTTTGCTCAGATATAATTTTACATAATTAGTTGCATCTATGGATAGATCGTGCCTAATTATAAAAAAATTATATATATATTTATTTTTTAAAAGATTAATTGTAAAGGTAATAGTAAATATATAATTTAATTTCCTAGTTGTGGAAAAGGAAAATTAATGCTTTTGTAAGTAAATAAAATAGGTAAGCTGTAAAAAGAGAAGAATTAGAAGAATTACTGTATATTTTCATATTGAGCTGAAATTTTGTGATTGTTTAGTTTTTTTTTTTTTTTTTTTTTTTAAGTTTGGGAATTGGCTTATATGCAAGTTCAAAGTGATTTACAGATAATTTGATCGCAAAAATCATAATATAGATTAAATAACCAAAAAATGTATATGATTCTAATATATGAATCAAGTTTCTTTACACTGATTTCCAAATTAAAATTTTCTAGCAATCATCTCTCTGCTAGGGGCAAGTCCAGGTGAATGTCACTATCCTCCATTTTGTCATTAACAGTGTCATCATCCGTTTCATAGTTACCATCTTCATTTCTACCCAATGTATTTCAAAGTGGTAACTTTAATTTTAAAACTAGCAGTTGTTTTATGTCCGAGTACTTTATAGTATAAAGCAGAAAATTTAATTGCTTTATAATATGTATTAATTATTTATTTATGGAAATTTACATACATTTATATTTTCTGTATGCTCTAGTACTCTCATTTCTCATATTTGCTCATGTGCATAGGAAGTATTTTAATTACAGATTTAAATTAAATTGTTTATAACTGCTATCAAAGTTTTTATACTCTCTCTCTCTGTTTGGGGAGGGTGCACTTTTTAATTTATAGCATGTTTTTCACAGCAGAATTTCTGTATCAGTTTGGCAAACAAAGCCTGAGGCTGTGCTAAATTGAAACAAAATCTGCCAATGTATTTTGTTAACAAAAAAGTATTCAAGAATCTTACTTTACTACAAGAAAATTAACTTAATTGTAGAATTGCTGTAAATGAGTTATGTTTCTAAGCTGTGCTATTCAATTAATAATACATGACCTTTTAGCTGTTATCTACAAAATGATTTTTTTCTCCTTAACATTTATTTCTTTTATGTTTTATAGCTGTCTGCTGATGCCGATCAAAATATAAAAAACGGATCGGAGCTTGTTGATAGACTCATGAAAGTAAGTGACATGAATCATCTATGATATTAAAAAAAAAAAAAATTTTTTTTAAGCATCAGAAGGAAGGAAATCTTGCATCTTTTTCTTTTAAATTTTTAATGGAAGAAAACATAAAAAGTGTTTAATTTCTTTGTATTGTTTTATATTATGAAAGAGGTATTTTATAAATAAGTGGGTTGTTTTTTTTATACAATAGAATGAAATTGATCATATGAAAAGAAATGGTTAATCTTTGGATTCTGGTAACTTAGTGATTTTTTGGCGAAAATTTGGCAACCAACCCTGTTACAGCAACCTGCTAGTTTTGTTCCATTTTGTTTTCACGAAGTAAAGGCATGTTTTTTTTTTACTCAACATTTTTTCTAACAATCTGCTACCCGAATTATGCTTATACTAGAACTTTTATGGAACAAAAATGCTTAATCATGACGAAGATTAGGTGCAAAATTGAGAGAAAGTGCAGAATCGCAAACTGCTTGCCGCGTTTTTAAGAATTGCACATACACGGTATCATCCATGTACACGTCGACCTATTTTCACTTAAAAAAAATCCCAGAATTGCACAAAAATGGCATTGCGCACACTCTTGACTTTATCCATGTACACTACTAAAGTCCTAGCTAGTAACGTTTATCGCCTTACCAAAATGTCGCCAAACTACCTGTTACCATATTCCAAAGATTAGCCAAAGAAATAAATAATAACATTATCAATTTTTTTTTTTTTTTTTTTTTTTTTTTTTTTTAAGTTAATTTAAGGACTTCAGCTGTAGCAGCCAAACTTAAATAAATTTGGCAAAGTATAGCTGCCCTGCAGTTAAAATCTTTATTATCCAAATAGAGTTAAATTCTGCTACTAATCCACTGCTGTTTTGGAATTTAAATAGATAAAATTTCAATTTTCAAAAAACTCAACATGGCAAATTTTTCTCAAATTAATATGCAGATATATTTAAAAAAATACCATATTTGTTACATTTCATTTGTTGATTTCAAAAAGTGAAGTTATTCTGTTATTGAAGTAATTAAGCATTTTTTGCAAGTGTTTCCTTTGCATGGTAAACACTGATAGTGAACCTCTAGGCAAAATTGTCATTTAACATCAAATCCTTATATTTGTGTATCCATTTTCTAGAGTTTGAATTCATGTGTAAAGGATATCGTGTGTAAATGCATAAATATATCATGTGTAAAGGATATATTTATCCTAAATTTTTATTTTTTATTAGATTTTTCTGGCTTTAAAAATATAAAAAATTTTAAAAAAAGAGGGCTGAAATTATAACTTTTCTTTCGGTAAATGCAGAATGTAATGGCACAATTAATACATAAAGATTCAGTTTAAGGCATTATTACTTGAGTATGTGTTGACAATGTGTTTATTAATTTATTCTCTTATTTAAGAATGTGAAAATTACATTGAATTATACTGGTGGATATACAGTTTGTTAATATAAAATGTTTTGATGCATTTTTACAAAACATTTTTTCTTCAAAATATTTCTCTGTTGTTATATTATTTATTTATTATTTATTTATTTTTTATTTTTTTTATTATTTTATTTTTTTTTTTTTTTTTTTGGTGTGTTTGTGCGTGTGCGCAGTACATTTACCCTTTGTACTGTCATTATGTTCTTTGTACATAATTATTTTTAGAAAATATAATTTATATTCAGTAAATCTTGATTAAATAACTTTAAATTATGAGTATGGTTTTGATTAGCTGTTTAAATAGAAACATATTTAAAGTAAAAAATTTGAAAGGAACAAACATGGCTTGTAATCTGAAATTTTTTCTAATCCACACAGGCTTTTGTCTGAAGATATGTGGGTTATGGGAAATTTACTATATTTTCCAGTCCTCAAGTCATTATACACATCAGGTATAATGATGTGTATAACGCATTAGGCCATCATTTCACAGATTAAATAATAAAATAATTTTAATCTGTGGCCACTTTTCCTAACAAATAAATATCTGTATTTAATTTATTCAGGATATTGTCACAGAAAGCTCTTCATTTGATCTGGTTGGCTTTATGCCTCTTTTAAGGGAAAGAATAACATCCAAAAATCCTTTTACAAGGCAGTTTATTATCTCCTGGGTAAGTCATATTCCTTTATACTCTTTGTCACTCAAATTTGCTCTCTTCAATTTAACCATAATATATTATTAATGAATATTCAGTATGTTGCTTTGTAAAAATACATATACAGTATGTATATATATATATATCAAGCAAAATAGCAAGCAAGTGTTATGAATTAAAATAATTCCTGATTTTCAAAGTATAAAAACCTTCTTATCTAAACTAAATATTCCCAAAACCCTTGTTTGTAACATCTCTTTTCTGCATTTGGTTTAAAGAAAACTGTGTGGAGCAATGTTTAGAAGCCTTTTCTGCTTCTGAGTATTCATATGCTTTTCTAAATTTGAAAAATCAAAATGTTTAACAAGCATTAGTTGCTATCTCTGAAACATTCTGCAGATCAAGCATGAAATTTACATCATCTGATCCATGTTTTGTGACTTTCAAAGGGTATCCTGATGTTTTGTCTTTATTTTATTTTAATTATTTAAAAAATTTTATATTTCTGAATAATATAAAGAAAGTAGAGATGAAAACAACAAAGCACTTGAAAAAATTGATATGGTAAGTTGTCATTTAGCAAAGTTTTCTTGCCCAGCTACTTCCAGATTTTATGAAAAGGAAATTATCAGCTAGGTGTGTTGCTGTTCTATTTTATATTCAAATATAAAGGTATATGACAAATCTAACTTTCATTTTAAAACATGAGTTATGTGTGAACTAAAAATCATCTTTTGCAGATTAAAAATGTTTAGTGCTAAGTTTTGTCATCAAATGAGAATCTGTTTCTCCATTTCTGCTAATAAAATTTCTAAAGTGGCCACCTTGCACTCTCATGCATTACATTCTCAGGTGTTTTGCCTTTTGGAAAGTTCTGTAAGCTTTGATTTATCTCGCGAATTTGATCAGTTTAACATTAATTAACAAACTGGGTAATTTAACCTTTATGTCCCAAATTACGTTATTTTTTTAAAAAGAGTTTGTAACTTTTTTATTTAGTATTATAAGTTTTTCATTGCTTTTCTTAAAATTGGGGCTTAAAAATCCCATTGGGACACAGTTGAGTGATTTTTATTGATGGGACTTTAAAGTCTCATCAGAAAATAAAGGATTAAAAGCAATGTAATGTCATTTTGTGAAAAAGAAGAATCTGTCACATTCCTGGTAACTGAGGGGAAGATGCTGTTTTCAACACATTGCTTTGGCATCTGCTTCAGATTGAAATAGTAGGCACTTAGATGTCCCTACTGGTGTCAATCGGCTGGTCACTAGTCCTACAGCCCCTGCATTTTGGCAGTTAAGACTGGCAGTAGAAGTATGGCTAGTACTAGCTAAGGATCTCTCTTTTTTTTTTTTTTTTTTTTTTTTTTTTTTTTTTTTTTTTTTTTTTTACAGGTTTGTATATTCCGGCCTGTAAAGTTCCTTCATATTTGGGGCAATATAATTCTTCATTTGAGTTGCTTTCACGTTCCTAAGACTCTATACTCTTGCATACCTAAGACCTTATACTTTTTTACAGCAGATGCTTGGGTAGGGTTTATTATTGACAGATACTTTGATAGGATCTTTTAATTCTTTTTATTTATGCTTTTAATATTCTTAAAAAGTTTTGTGATATTTTGGAGTTTTAATTTTTTATTAAAAGAATGATTAAATCTTAATATGACATTTTTTATGTTTATGATTAGCAACAACTGAAAAATTTCAAAATTTTTCATCATTTTTCTTCTAAGTTATATAAGAATTTAAGTAGTTTAAGGCAGTAAATAATATAAAACTAAGAAAACTACATTAAGTTTTTAACTTGACTTTCCCTTAAATATAAATCACTCTGATTAAAATACCTCTAGCATGCTTTCTGGTTATTATGTTAAAATTTACAGTATAAGATTAACATATAACATTTTGATCTTGGATTTCTGATACTTGGTTTGATACAAAAGGTTTCCATTTTGAAGCCTTCCCTTTAATCCAGAGAAGAGTGATTAAGAAATCAGTCCGCAAATATGCATTAGAAACACGAAATTTAAAATTTGTTTTCAAATATTGGAAAAGTCTAGAAAAATAACAGCTTCCATTAGTTCAAGCCACGGTAGTATGAACCTTTTCGGTGGCATGATGCTAGATTTTGCAGTGATAAAACTTGTGTAACTACAGTTGCCACTTAACACATAATGAAAGTATGCAACTGCTCTAAAAGCTTTAGGACTAGCCTCAAAAAATGTATGCAGTTCTAATTCTTTCACTAACTTCAATGGAAAAGAGAAATGTTTTCTTTCGATTGTCAAATCTTTTAAAACATTTAATCTGAGAACACCAGTTCCCCTCCCCAACACACACACACCTTTTTTTCAGTGCAGTTATTCAGTGCAATTATTCATTGTTCCATCCAAATCCAGTATCCCATATTTTTTGCATTAATAATTTTTTTAGGACTAGCATAAAAAATATATGCAATTTTAATTCTTTCACTAACTTCAATGGAAAAGAGAAATATTTTTCCCCCGATTGTCAAATCTTTCAAACAGTCAACCTGAGAACACTAACTACCCCCTTTTTTCAGTACAGTTGATTATTCATCATTCCATCCTAATCCAGTATCCCATATTTCTTGCATTAATAATTTTATGAGAACAATAAAAGGTGAAGCATTTCGCCTAGTATCGCCAGAAAACATTAAAGTTTCCAGACAGGTATACTTTTTTTTTTTTTTTTTTACAATGCATAAGAAATTCATTAGCCCTGTAACAATTTAATATACTCGTACTCCTACCACAATTCCTAGACAGGAATCCATGTGGCTTTGACCTCTTCCTGAAACTGGAAGGAGTTGCTGAAAATTCCAGGGAAATTGTTTGCGAACATTACCACAAGATTTCACTTAATGCTCGTTGCCAACAAGGCTGGTCATCAAGGGTTGAACCTTTGATGACATCCGGCAACTTCAGGATATGGTCATCGCAACATTATATATGCGAGTAGGCATTATATTTAAGGATTTAAGTTTAAAATTCTGTGAATGAATACTTTCTTATATGTTAACATTTTGCTCCCATTTTGTATCTAATACTCTCAATAAAATTTAAATAAACAGTATTAAAATTTTTCAGTACTATTCGGTTTTGAGGGCTGTAAAAAATCACCAAGCTATTGTTGATGCCAGTGCTGCCAAAAATAATTGCGGCAAACTTAACACAAGAAAGGAAATATAATAGTAAATAACTAGCTAAGATTGATATTTTAATTTAGATGAAAGGTTAATTTCATATAATACTTTTTATTATTATAATTTATATAAAAAAGGCTAAACATGACTGAATTGAAGCATAAGATTAAATAACTATTTCAGATCATTATTATAATTTATATAAAAATTGCTAAACATAACTGAATGGATGCCTGCATCGCTATTTCGCTACCGAGTTATAGCTAAAGCATAGTTTCATCTCGTTGGTTGTTTAAACATAATTTTCTGTAATGAATGATGCCTTTTCTTTGAAAAAATTCTCGGTAAAGTGCTGAATCGCCCACTTCTTTGTTTGCTTCTTTTTACTAGGGTAAAAACAATTGAATTTTTGTCAATTTTCTTTTACTTTTTAAGTGAAAATAAGTCGATGTGTACATAGAAAAAGTCAAGGGTGTGCGCAGTGCCATTTTTCTGCAATTCTGGGATTTTTTTTTTTTTTTTTTTTTAAAGTAAAAATAGGTCGATGTGTACATGGATACCGAGTATGTGCAATTCTTAAAAACGCATCAAGCAGTGGGTGATTCTGCACTTTACCCAAAATTCTATTGCAGACTTTTCGTCACGGGCAATTCCCAAATTGTTAAGTCCATAGTATATCAAAAAAGGATTTAAAGTCAAAAAAAGGATTTGAAAATTAAACTAGTATTTCAATGGCATCTTAAGAAATATAGAACTGTATAAACTTACGCAGTCTGAAATCAGCGTGTACGCTAGATTTGACTGCTGTTAAATGGACGCGTTTGCTAGATTTGGTGCTTTAGCACATACATTTCCTCTGCAATTTTTTTACGGTCCACAAAATGGAATAGTACCAATTTTTCTTATATTACCTTTTATCATTTTAAGTTAGAAAAATCATAGCTGATGTTTTTACTAATTAAGAAGTGTTGTTGTTTACTCCATGACTTTTTTGTAATTTAAATTCAGAACTGAGAGTTTGATATATAATTCATGGTTTTAAGAGGATTTTCTTCCTTATATATAGGTTTCAACATTAGATTCTGTACCTGACATTAATATGATAGTTTTTCTTCCTGAAATTCTTGATGGCCTGTTTATTATATTGGGAGATCCTCTTGCTGAAATCAGAAAGATGTAAGCATTATTACATATATTAGGGTTTCTTTATGTTCTTTTATGATTTTATTTTGTGTGTGTCAACTTGGTTAACTGCCAATTCCTCAGTTATGCCTCAAGACTCCCAATGTTTCATCCCATTTTTTCTTGGTCTCCTAGTTTTTAATTTTTATCCTTTATTAAGGAAACCTAATAAGAAAATGTTTGACAGTAATAAATGAATCTTAAATTGTCCGAAAAATTTATGTGATTTGAATTGTCTTAATCTGTTGTAGACATTACTAAAACTTTTCATGACCATTCCACCAATGTTTAATCAGTTAATATTTGTATTTAATTTTGTTTTGCATTAATAAATAATATACATTATGAAATTTGTCCATACAATAGTATATACAAGGCATGTCCAGAAAGTAAGTTTCGTTTCAATTTATCTCCGCTGCAGCTCTGCGATCGCAGTTCCGCACTCTGTATCAAGGAGAAGAAACGCGCGCCATTTGGAGATCGCTGTCAGTCACGTACGCTTTGTTGTGCTTGTTTACAATGTCGGTGTTGATTGAAAATCCCGCCGCTTGTGAAATCAGATCTGTGATTCGTTTTCTGAATGCAAGGAAAGTGAAACCGAGTGAAATTTATCGGCAAATTTGCGATGTTTACGGACCAAAAGCGATGAGTGATTCAATGGTGAGAAGATGGGTCCAAACGTTTAGTGACGGACGTAGTGATGTGCACGATGAAGAACGAAGTGGGCGTCCATCTTTGGTTACAGAAGAACTGGTTGACGCGATTGATGACAAGATCCATGAAAACCGAAGGTTTACAATTAGTGCTCTCACTATGGAATTTCCCCAAATTTCACGATCACTAATGCATGAAATTGTTACCGAAAAACTGAAATTTCGTAAACTTTGCTCACGTTGGGTACCAAAGATTCTTAATGAGCAACACAAAACAAAACGGATGGGTAGTGCACTTCAATTTTTGACCTGTTATGCTGAAAGCGGCGAAGAATTTCTGACACAGATAGTCACAGGAGATGAAACTTGGGTTTCTTGCGACACCCCTGAAAGTAAGCGGCAATCAATGGAATGGAGGCACACTTCATCCCCAGCAAAGGTTAAGCCGAAGCAAATCTTGACACCTCAAAAAATGATGTGCACAGTGTTCTGGGACTGGAAAGGCTTCATACTCATTGATTTCTTACCGCGTGGTCAAACAATCAGAGAAGATGCTTATTGCGAGACACTTCGGAAATTGTGCCGCGCAATACAGAATAAGTGCTGAGGATTGCTGTCAAAAAGTGTTGTTTTTCTTCACGACCAAACACTGCAAATGTGACGAAAAACCTCCTACAGGGATTTGGCTGGGACGTGTTTGACCATCCTCCGTACAGCCCTGACCTCGCTCCTAGCGACTTTCATCTGTTCTTACATCTTAAGTCTTTCCTTGGCGGTCAACACTTCAACAATGACGAGCTGAAAGAAACTGTTTTTAACTGGTTGAAGACACAGGCGGCAAATTTCTAGAAGAAGGTATACAAAATTTGTGCCACGCTACGCTACAATGCCTGCAATTTTTTCGGCAGTTATGTGGGAAAAGTAGTAAGAGTTGTTAAATTTTGTGCAATAACTTTTCTGTAGCTGTACACAATTTACTTTTATTACCAAACAGAACTTACTTTCTGGACGTACATTGATTATTAATTTTCTTCCTGATTAAAAATGCTTTGATGAATAAAGATTTTTTCATACCTGGGATAAAAAGTATGATAAAAATGCAAAATTAAATTAGCCGAAGACCATAAAATTCAGCACATGTTATCAGATATTAATATAATTTATATCAGGATCATATTATAAATAGTTCAGTATTAGAAGTATGCATTATAAAGTGAATTTGGAATTCTTTCTAAGTCACATTGCTGTTCAACACAAAAACCTCCCAGAGTTTCCTGGTTTTTCATATTTTAAGGTCAGCAGCCATGGAATAGAATTACTGGTACTGTTCTGTTATCAAGACCAGTATCCAGATATGTTAAACTACTTATAAGACAATTTATGCAGTCACTGTATCATGATGAGATTGTGTGCAAAATTGAAGCCAAATATGGAAAACCAGGTTTTTTGATGTACCTCGTAAACTAAGACCACTGGGCAGTGGCTTTTACTAACCGGCCATGATTATACTGCTGTCATATTGGCATTCTCACTGATGCTGCCATTCCCAAAAATGAGCGTAGGGATAAATAAACATGACCTGTATGTCTCGTCATTGTAATTTATATGGTAACAAACAGGCAGATTTTTTTGCCAGAATGGGTGCCAAGCTACACTGTACAAAACAAAAAAATCTCTTTATAAAGCAACTCGTACAGTATACTAAACTATTTATAAGACAATTTTTGCAGTCAACATACCAGGTTGAGCTCCTGTGCAAAGATGAATTTTTATTTGAAGCCAAATATAGAAAACTATTAATTGAATTATCCTTATTTTTTTAATTAATTTCTGGATTAGAAAAACATTTAAGGGTTTTCATTAGTTAAAGTCAGTAAAAAAAAAAAAAAAAAAAGCACCTATGTAGACATTTATCTTTGTAAACTGAATTTTAAAATTATGGCTGATAGTAAAAGGAAAACTAAGTTTCTTTGGTAAACTAGATAATAGAACAAAATCTGAATATGACTTGTATTCTCTTGTGTAAAATTAAATGAAATCATAAAAATAGGAAAAGAAATTGATAATGTTGTTTTTCTCGTGTTTTATTATTGATATTAAAAAAGAAGAAATGTATAAGCTTGAACATTAACTAACATAAATGCTCTTCATGAAGATGATAAAAGGGTCATGAATTCAACTTGCCCATAGACAATTTTCATAATTTAGTCCACATGGTGAGTGGTAGACAGGAATTCCAAATTTTTAGCACATTTAAATTATCTGGAATATTTTTAATCACATTAAAATAAGAAAGCAGAAATGAAATTTAGATTGAGGAGGGGAAATATAAGTTTGAATGAAAGTTATAATAAGAAAAGAATATAAAAGTTTGAATGACTTCTTTTCTAAGTAGGATATATTTGTTATATGTTGCTTATTAGTTTGCTGTTGCATCAGTTTTTGGAGCTTTACTAATGAATGGATTGTGAAAATATCATACATTACTATAGTTTTGCAATTTTTTTTAACATTTTGCAGGTGTGAGTCAGTTTTAGGAGAATTTTTACGAAATATTATTGAAAATCCTCGTCGAGTTAATTTTGTTGCTATGGTGAATATATTGACTATGCATGCAAATTCAACTGGTAAGTGATTTTCTAAAAGTTTTCTTGAACTTTTGTTATTAGAATTATGTGTAGCTTAATCTTTCAATTTCTGTCATTGTTACATTTTACTGTTAGGGCATTTATCATCCATGCAGACTGCACATTTTCAGACATACTGCTGCTTGAAATTCCATTTCAAGTTACAGAAGCTTATGTTTATTAACTGAAAATTTTGTAAATATGTGCAAAATCCTACATTAACTCATAGAAACTCATATTGTTTTCACATAGACATTTCGTAGTTCAATGTGGGTTTTCTTTTGTTCTATGGCATCCATCGTACTGTTGTCCATCATACTGTTCGTAGTCTTTTGTTCTATGGCATAAGTCATTTACTTCTTAGTTTCCATGCAGAATATATTTGTGTCACCTCCCCAACTGCAGTGGTGATTCAGTTTATGAGTTTAGCAACATGACAGGTAAGTTTAGAACAAATACTGAAACACCATAAGGAAAAAAACTGAAGACCAAAGTGGCCATACTATCTGTCTTCCATGTCCATTTCACCGATTAGAAAAGTGTTCTTTAAGTTAATCTCAGAAGTGTGTGAGGTATTGGGGAGTTTTCCATTCTGCATGAAATATATAATGTTGAATGCACTTTTTTTTTTTTTTTTTTTTATTTCTAGATCATTAACAGCTCAAAACACATTCATCTTTAAGCTGTCATGAATGTGTTATGCCAGTGGTTCCCAACATTTTTTTCCCATGTACTTCTTTCACTTTTGTTAGAAGATCCCCCCTCCATCCTTCCCAAAGTTTGAAAAACGCATACATACATTTATTTAGATCTAGATTATTTTCTAGCGTGTTTTATAAATTTAACAAAAAAAAAGTATAGAAAATGTTAGTATTAAGTACCAGAACTTAACAAAAGTAGTTTAGATTAGTAGTAGAATAAAACTTTAGTAGAAATTTAGTAGTACTTTAATTTAATAGCACTTTAATTTAGTAGTACTTTAATTTAATAGCACTTTATTTAGTAGTACTTTAATTTAATAGCACTTTATTAGTAGTACTTTAATTTTGTAGTACTTTTAATTTAGTATTACCTTTAAAGTACTTAGTAGAATAAAATTTGAAAAAAATATTTTTTTTTTATATATTCATAAAGTAAAACTAGTGTCCTAGATAGTGCAATTAAGGATGCTTACTTTATCAATCAGATAAGATATCATTTCTTCACTGAAAATTATGGGATATAGTATTGTCTTGCCTTCACTACTAATATGTTGCATAATCAGTCATAAAATAACATTTTTTCAAGTGTTGAAATTTCTATGATATGGCCAGATTATTGTATAGGGAATTCCAGTTTGTGTCATTTTGATTTTTAAGCTATTATTAAAGAAGCTATCCTTTATTCATTGGTGACAAAACATATCGTCATCCTAGAGATTTTGCATGGCTAACAAAACAACTGATTATAACAAAAAATCTGGTGCCAGAAGTAAACTGTTAGGACATTGGAAGGATCCTCACCATGATGGGTGTGAAATTGGCATTTGAACACTTGTTCTATATTTAATTTCCTTGAACCAAACTTTGCAGCAAGTACACTTTGCACCTGTCTAAGCATCCATTGTTAAACAAATACGGCGAAGATTTTCAGTAGTGTAGTTCAATATAAATATACCAATAGTATTCACGGTTGTAGAATTCAGTAACATGTACTTATGTGAGTGAAAACTTTGAGTTGCATTATCAGATGCTATTGAAACTAAGTATGTAAGTCTTTTGAATAACTTTCACTGAGCTTACAAACTATGTTTTTTTTTTTTTTTTTTTTTTTTTTTTTTTAATCCTTTATCAAGCATTTTAGGATGCATTTAGTTGATATTTTTGGTAAATATTTTCACTATTATTATAATTAACAAGAAATGTTTCTAAAAGCATATGATAAGTATCTCAGTATAGAGTGACATATATGTATGTGCCTAAAAATGCTGCCTAAAAATAAATTATCAATAATGGCAGAATATTAATATAATGACTAAATTTCACAAAATATAAAATTATATTTACTGTCTCTCTTTTGCTATATCTGAAATTTAGAGGGGAAAAAAGTATTTTTGAAAATGTTTTATACTACTTAAATGTATTTAATTTCCTTATATAACTTTCTGGTTTTTAATTTTTCAGAGGATTTGGTTCAGTTTACTGCTCTTGTATGGTTAAAAGAATTTGTAAGGCTTGCTGGATGCACACTATTGCCTTATTCATCTGGTATACTGACTGCTGTACTTCCAAATTTAGCTCAAGATACTGAAAATAGAAGAAGTATCCTTCTAAATAATCATTTATCTTCTTATGTTTTTATGCATCCAAGTTTCTTTTTATTTAAAAAATAAGAAAAAGAAAATTTTAGAGTTGTGAGAAAAATTCTTCAAAATTGCTACAGTAATGTTTCTTTATTTCTGGAAATATATTTGAAACCATTTAAAAAAGAGTAATGTTTAATATAAAAGAAAATATATAAGGTACAGGGTGCACACAAGTCTGTACATCATCAGATACTTTAGAAAATACATTACAAAAAACATATGTTAATCGATATAATTATCGAAAAGATAAAACATGTTTTAATTATAGAAATATCCATATGTATCTTTCCAAAATCTCTACATAGCTAACTGTGCTACTAAATTTACTTGTTCACATTATTCAGTATTTCTGAGATTACTTTCTGGAAGGCTTCGTACAACAGCATTTTTGTAGTTCATCAGTTGTTGAATGACAGCACCACTGTACAGACCTTTTTAATGAAACCTTTTAAAGTACATTATCTCATCTCTTAAAATAAAGCTTCTTGAAGGCTTAAGGAAGCAGAATTGGAAATTGTCCTATCAATGCAAAGTTTGGAAATACTTCATTTAGATGGCATCAAATGGACATATACAAACTGAGCTGGTGCCATATAGCACTGAGGCCAAACACTGTATGCGATTCCAGCAGTTCAGAACCGTGAAATGAGCCAATTCTTGAACATTTCAAGTTACTTCATGTTTGTAATAAAACCATTAAAAAAATATGACCAGATACAGATTCATTGCTGTCATTCTGGCGTATATTTTAAAAGATAGTAGCTAAAGTCATTCAAGAAATTGTAGTGCACTGCTTATTAGATATGCCCATATCAGGTATATAGACATTGTACATACCATACCGTGTGTGTATATTTTTAGAAAGTTTTTCTAAATTGCTCTTTAACTATTCGAAGATATTGTTGAAACAGCTAAAACAGTTAACAATGATCTAATGAAACTAGTTGTACAAGAAAAGCAACAGCTGACATGTGAGGCTACTGATGATTCTTCGTCATCTGATAAAGTTGAAGCACCTTTAATGGATCAGTTGGACAATCAGCTTGATTTGAAGTCTCTGGTTATTGTTTTAACAAAACAGATAAAATACGATTCAATTCAAACTCGTATTGCAGTCTTAAGGTGGATACATCATTTGCTCTTGCAAATTCCAGATAAGGTTATTGCTTAAAAAATTTTATGAAATTGTGCACAAAGCTTTAATTATGCTTCTTGGTCAAGCAAAACTTCATTTTTAATCCCAGAAAAAACCTTGATAAAATGCAATAATTGACCATATCAAGTCAATTATTGTAAGTAAATTGAAATCAAAATTTCTTTTTATAAAATTGGTGTAACTACTATGAAAAATTGCTTTTTATTGCATAAGTTTTCCACATTTTTCATTCAATTTAAAATATGTTTTAAAATTTCTTATGAGAAATTTATGTGTGTTATATTGTGTAAGATGTTGCCAGACAGTGAGATATCTACGGGAGAAAGAAATAGTTTTCATTTTAAAATGTACTTCATTGCTTCTAAAGCAGAATTGTTAAACCTGGTCTTGAAGTTCAAGTAAAGACATAAAAGGCAGAATATACAAATATTTATACATCATACTAGCTAGGAAGAAATAATTACAATTTTGAAAATATACTTTTGTTAGGAATGTTAATCAAATAACGCCAGAAATCCTCGAACTTTGTCAAAACTTGTACATATGTGTTGCCTTATGTATGTGAATGTTATTACACATTATTTTTCTTGTCTCAGTAGAATGAATTTTCTTCATTTCCAGTGATCAAATTTCAATAATTATAAAGTGTTTTAAATGTAATATCTTTAAAATACGTAATATAATAGAAATATATATATATATTTGTAATAAGGTATACCCTTGTAGAACACGATTTTGTGTATACGTGTTTTCTTAACTATCTCCATTCAATTTGCCCACCATGAAATTTCAGTTATAAACAGTTCACTGCAGAGTGTTGGCAGCCTTTCAATAGTCGTCTTTAACCCCTTAACTGCCACGGAAAATGTACACGATTCATTTCCCAGTGCCACGATATTTCACACAGGCGGGCGTAGTTATGTGATGTGTTAGGGGGAAAATAAATGCAAGTTTTACTTTCACCAAATAAAGAATAAAAGAAAAAAATGAATGTACAAAATTTAATGTTTTGAGTAAAAGTATAATAAAAAGATGTAAGTATAATAAAAATGATGTTTTTATAATAAAAAATATCCCTAAAATGGAGTTTCGATCAACTCATTTTTAGACCAGTAAAGTGTAATACAGTCAAATACCGAAAATCCGCGTTGCCTCTCAGAATATAAACATTCAGTTTATAGGTTCCAGAACCGCAACATTGAGTACAAAATATCGAAGAAAAAAATACTTACTGAATAATAATGAGTCAAAACGATTATTGATATAAAAATGTTAAAAAAATAAGATAAAATAAATAAGCTTTTTTTTTCCTCTAATCTGCATCAAGGTAAAAAAGCAAATGATTCACTTAACTCTTTGTTCAAGTTCAGGATTCACGTTGTTGTATTTTCTGAGCTTTGTTATTTCATTTCACGAGATTGTTTAAGGCTGCCTTTTTTTTATCTGGATATTTTGTGGATAAATTAAGAATATTTTTAATTTCAGCCCTTTTTAATGCAATGACAGGTAAGAAACGCACTCGTGATTTTACTGCTTGCAACGTTGAAAATTGTAAACACGTTGCATTGACGGTATTGCAAAAAGTGCAAATTCTGTAAAAGATTGAAGCAGGTGCTACTCCTCGATTTATAGCAGAATAGTATGGAATTGCGAAACGATTGTGTATGATATACGGGAAAATAAAGAAAAGCTGTTGAAATTTTACAGCAACAGTGATTCTAACACCAGAAATCTTTGCATGAGGCGAAATCGGCAAACCTCGATGCTGTGTACATATAATATATGTAATAATAATTTAATGCATACAATAAATTATTGCAATAATGTATATAATAATTTAATTTAAATGTATCTAATACGCATTATTCATTTTGCTCTTTTAATCTGAATATTATGCTTTATCTTTTCTGTCCTAAAATCCGCACAACCTCTGGTCCCAAGCTTTGCGGATTTCTGGAATTTTACCGTATCAGGTTTCAGTGTTATACCTTGTGAAATCAATATGCCTAAAAAAACATATATTTCTTCTGAACTGGTTGAATGCCATGATTTTGTTCTTTAGTTTTCGTTTGCAAGGTGTTGAGTTTCAGTAACAAAATGAAGCACGAGTAGTTCATCAAAAAATAATTCAAAAAAGATAAATGGGTTTGAAACATCTCTTATATCTTTCTTTATTCCTGGAACCCACTACAAAAAATAAAAGAAAACGGAGGACACACAAGGAAAAAAATACCTTGTACTCAAACAATACCGTGCAGTCATTACTTTCACCGCTTTAGACACATCCCTTTCTCCAATTTCTCCCCACACTTCTCTGAAATAGTATCCTCCTTTGTATACTTTGTCAAGGTCATTGTGGTGTTGCATTCCAAAGTTTTGCGAATAATTATTCAAATAATATTAGCAACGCAAAGCAAATGATAGTATTTTGAAAGGGCGTATATGTATGCCCAGGGCAGTTAATGCATCGGCAGAGCAAGGTGTATATATATGCCTGTGGCAGTTAAGGGGTTAATGATTGGTTTGAAAATTATTCATTAAAGAAGTCCATCTTTGCTTAAAACAAAGAAGCATTAAAGTTCCACTAATTCTTGATAATGCTTCAGCGCAAGCTGAAACCCTCATAACATTGCAACCAAATGTAGAAGTTTATTCCGTCAACCCAATACCTCTTCCTTTATCCAACCAATGGATCAAGAAATGATAAAAACATTTAAACCCTCTTGTATCAGGCATGTTTAAATCTCTACAAATAAAGCATTAGACAAATAAAAACATGATACACTAATGGCATTTTGGAAGCAACTCAACATGAAACACTGCATAAAAATAATTAAACTGGTATAGGAACAAATGCATTCATCTGTCATCAGCACTGGCCAGAAGTTGTCAACAGTTTTAAAGGATTTCCATTGATTGAAATTGCGGCCAAGGAAATTGTATAGATCGCAAAAGTAATAGGCTGCATAGAATTTTGAGATATGAAGGAAGGAAAAATCAAAAAATTAGTTGAGAATGACAGTTTTGAAATGCCAGGTGAATAACTGCATGATCTTATAATAGCAGCCAGCATTGAAAGCAGCGAGAGTGAAGGAAATAGTGAGTGAGCTTTTAACATACAAGAAATTAAACCAATTATTAGAAAAGGCACAGAAACTGTCTGAATTTGTAATGGAGATCGACTCAAATGAAGAAAAAGATACTATTTTAAAGGTATTGAAAAACTTTGCACTCCTTACCACAAAACGTTTAATGAGTTGCATCAAACTTTGTCCTGAGCAAAACCATCAAATATTTTTTAAAAAATAATTATATCATGTGCCTATTTATTAAGTAGTAATTGAAATCTTTTCAGTTAACATTTGTTTCATTTTCCCCTTTTAATTAAAATAATATTTAGGTGTGTTTAAATTATACATATTTTCTTAACCCGAACTATACCTAACCCTTTTTTTTTTTTCGACAGAAAGTTAACTTTGCAGAATGTGATTTTGCCATGCGCTCAATGTGTTAATAATATAGCTCTTGCATTTGGCAAGGATTTACTGTATATTGATTTATATAAATAAAAATTATTCTTAGTATTCCTTCTGAAATATATATATATATGTATTGATTTTTAACAGATATTCATATATGTGGATGACATATTTCCTGTTCTCTTGCAAACATTATCTGATCCTTCAGATGAGGTATCAGTATATTTTATTAATCCATTTTTGTCCAAAAAAGCAAATTTTTGCTTTTTAATTGATACTTATTTAGATCTCAAAAAAGGTTTTTGTCTAATTATTGATATCAAAATGTGTCATCATCTGCATTTGTTCAGATTCTGTTATAAAAATTAATTATTACTTTTTTATACTTATTGTGTAACAGCTTTTTATCCATTTTTATAAAGTTCCCCTATTTTTGCTCTAATGGTTTATTTTAAGTATGAAGCTATATTAGTGTTCTTAAAATTAAATAAAAAATAAAGTTTAGATCAATATGGAACAGTAGTATTCAACCTGTTTTGTCCTATGCACTCTTTTTACCATCACTAAAAGATCACTGCACCCCTCCTTTCCAAAACCCGAAAAATATATATATATATTTATTGAGATTTAGATTATTTTTTATTATGTTTTCTAAATTAAACCGTAAAAAGTAAAGAAAATATTGATAAATACCAAACTGTGAATAAAAATATTTTTGTATATTCATAAACTAAAAATAAACACTAAAATAGCTAAAACACTGACCATACCCCCTCTGAAATTATGAAATTCCGTCTTGATTGAGAATAATTGCTATAGAACCTAAGGTAGTCTATGCTTATCTAAAATTTCCTTTTTGTTTAGTTTTAATTTTTACATTGGTGTTTTTCTCTTCAGTGTAAATACAGTAATGTGCATTCCTTTGAATGTGGTAGAATTATTTTTAAGCTTGAAAAGGGGCATAGTTTGACATCTGTCTTTGTCTATTTTGCAGTTTGAAATTGATAAAAGTATTGTTTCTTGAGCTTGGAAAGCCTTCCAAATAACAGGTACAGCTGTAAGAAAGGTTGCTGGTGGTCAACCAAGGAAAACAGTGGTAACTGATGACCAGTATATCACCTTAAAAAGCAAAGAAGAGATTGAAACTAGACAGCGGGTAATAGTGAAAGCAGTTATGCACACCAACCATACGACAAATGTCCTAGGTGTGGTGACATAACCACATTTTTTATCCAGTTGTCTAAGCTTTCTCTCCCCGCCCCCCTTTTTTTTTACTGTGGTGGATTTAATGAATTAAGATTTGTTGTTCTTTCAAGAAAGCGTGATAGCCCTCAAGGCTTTGCCATAATCACACACGCTCACCTTCAAGAAAGTGATTTCCGTTACAAAGGAAGATTGTGTTCAATTAACTATTTCATGATGTTAAAATACATCAAAGCTGAAATGGTTATGCAAGTTTCACTCATGCTAGGAAGGAAAAAAGATGTCCAAACATAAATGTGATTTCCTGGATCGTACATTTTTTCTTTACTACCATCCGTATGGTGTCAGGAGTTAATATCTATTGAGTGTTGTGAACCAAAGTTTGCATCAAATGAATCACAACACAATGGTTAATTGAAATAACTACATAAGGAGAGGTACATGTTAGTTTTTCATCCTAATAGTTTATGAAAATTGCTGAGGTTTTCTTCGTGAGAGAAAAAAAGGGACATAGGCTGTGTTCCTCTCCCATGGAAATTTTTCGATTATTTTATCATGAAATTAGAGAATGCATCCGTGTTGTTATATCCGATCATGCTGTTTTGTCGAGTATGGAGGCAAAGGGATAGGGAAAGAAACAAATCAAAATGCACCTGTATGTTGCCCAAAATGTATGATTTGGCTTTAACAGAAAAGTACCAAATAATTTAATTTTATGGCACTTTGTACTACTCATCTAAAGCATTGGGTATTTACGTGGTCTACTGAATAATCAAACTTAGTGATCTGAATTTTGTCCTTTTAAATTTAGAATTTCACTTTTTAAAATTAAAGAAAGTTTTTTCATAATTTACAAATAATTTGGTCAAATATAGGTATTTTTAGTTGCTTAAAGTATCAAAATGCTCGCCTCATTAAATAATGTGTGATATCTGTTATCCAAGTCTTATAAAGTAAATTATGTAATTAAACGATATAAGCTTAAACAAATATAACTTTAATTGTAATATGTTGATCCTCTAGTTTATTGTGAGGGAAATCTGAATTATTAAATGTATATAAAAACCTGTAATACTGTGATAGTTTATTTTGTTCTCATCTCAAACTGCAGTATCTCCACATCATGCACTATTCTGCCTAATTTTTTAATTCTTTGCAGTTTAAAATTAACTACTAAATATTACTGCGTTTGTTTTCTCTTGAATGAAAAGCTTTTTAGATTCGTGTAAAAATCATCTTTTTTTGTTTTCAATTTACTCCTGTTAAAATTAATTGACAACCAACAAGAATAAACAGAAAAAGTCTTTCTGGAAACTGAAAGAAAAGTTTTAAAATTTTTGTATTGTAAGAACTTATTTGCATGAATAGAAAGCGAAGTCAACAGTAATTATTTATTGTAATAAGTAACCAAATTAATAAGTGTAAAATTCTTGCAAATGTACTCTTTTACTATTAAAAACTACTTACTTTAGACTTCTGGCTTTTTTATCAAAAATCTTAGCTTTCATATATATTTTCTTTGTTTTGTTTTGCATTCAATGTATAAATTGTAGTAGAATTAATTTTGAGGATGTGTTTTTAAAGGCATTTATTCTTTAAGGTTGTACTTTTAGACATAGAGGTCTTAGCTGAAATATCAAAGTCACCTGCTGGACAAAAACATCATTCTAATTTTGAGAATGTTGCTTCATCATGCTTGTTAAAAGAGATCAAATTGAAACCTCCATCCAACTTGAATAGTTACTTCACGAGTTTCATGCTGTCACTTTTGTATTTGTTTAAGACAAATAGTCAGCTGTTTGAAAGCAAGTGTTCTTTCATTATCAGGTATTAAATTGTTCCTTTTTTCGTGTGTGTGTGTTTGTGTCTTTCTGAAATATTTTGTTTAATTTACTGACATAAAGAAGAAAAGAAAGAAATGTTTTGTGGGGTAGTATATGCTCTTCTGTTTTCTTTTTGCTTTTAAATCTTTAACTACTAAACCTTTTATCAAATGTGTGGGGTGAAAATACTGCCTAAACTTTCATATAGATTGCTAAGTAATTCTAACAGCTTTGTTTCTGGTGCTTTCTAAAGGAACTACCTGTAATCCTCCAAGTCACTGAGGTAAGAATTCTGCTTTTCTTTTATACATCCATCCTCGATGCAAGGGAATAATAGTGAGAGTGAGTGAGAGATTATGGCGCAAAACCAAAGATGATTATAGCACGCCAAGGGAATAATAATAAAACCTGTTGCTATGCTTCCAGTCCGAGGATGTTTGACAAAAAATTGGCAAGACACTGTATTATGACCTTTCTCTAACAAGTGTTGAATAATAATAAAGCATCTTTCCTATTTGATCAGCAAATTAACTCTCTTCAGTCCCCCCCCCCAAGTTATGTCATGATTTTGCCAAAAATGGCTAATAATTTACAAATTATTTCTTTAGATAATGATTTGCAAAGAAGCTTCCAAGTAAACTTGGCTGTACCAGTGGCTAAGCAATTAAAGACTGCTGAGTACTTGTTGGTTGGTGGGTTACTTTTGTAGGTTGGTTACCTTGGGTTTGAAATGGGGTAGTTTCATGTTTGGCTCATGAAGGCATCCTTTTCCTTAGGCTTAAAGCATTTACTGCTTTGCTGTATTCAAATAAATATCTAAATAAATGTCCAATTTGACTGTCTCATGGGTGAAAATAGAACTGGTTCCAAATTGTGCCCCAATGATTACTTTTTTTTAATGAGTGGGGGAGGGGGAGGACTACTGCATTACCAAATAAGTTTCATTAGTTCAGAAATACTAATTTTGCTTATTCACTGTCGCAGTGTCATGCGATTGGCCACAAGAAAGCACAGTATTGTTACTTAGTTTTAAAGAAAATGATCTCAGCATCCTTTCAAAAAGTTTGATGTATTGAATTAAAGAAAATTGTATCATGAAAAGTTAACTTTAGTTAACTTAATTTCTTAAGAGGAATCATTCAATTTGATACATTAAAAGTTCTGCTTGATTTTGTTATGAGTAATATCAAAACTTTAATAAGTTTGAGTATGCATTGTTCCCTTTTTTGCTGTGCATGTGCAAGAAATAAACAGTTACCCATCTGCCTATTCTGTAAAAGAAAAAAAATGTTTGATGATCTAACTAGTTTTTCATTACAGAATTGTGGTAATATAGCAGTTCTTCATTGTGCACTACTCATTTTATGCTTACTATATTCAGTCTTCTATCAGTGGAAAAAGAAGCTGTAGTTTTTTTTTTTTTTTTTTTTTTTTTTTTTTTTTTTTGGTGGGTTAAACATTTTGCCAGAGTTCTATTGAATGAAACAATAAATATAATTTTACAATTTGTTTAATAATAAATACAATTTTTCAGCTTTTCTATAAATGTTATTTTAAACAAATTGCTAATAAAATTGTATTAAATACTATAATAAACACAAATTTATATTGATTTCCTTCTATGTATGTGTATAGTAAATAACTAGTGTCATATAAATAATGAATGAATAACCGATTTGTCTTTTATCATAGTCAGTTTCATTTCTGTGGATGTTTACAACAGTTAGTCACAAATCACCAAATTGTGTCAATGCCATTATTCACTTTCAGACTAAAACTGTTACAAAAGACAACTCCCAGTTATTCATATAAAATCTGCGTTGATTTTTATTTTTACATACATTTAAATTTATAATTGTAAACAAAAGTGAATTTTTTAGAATTAAAATAACAATAAAAAATAAAGTGTAATATCACTAATAGTGATAATACATTAAAATGATTTCTGTTCATGAATGTATGACCATGCTTAAAAGATTAGTAGTCCTTTCACAATGTGAAATATTATAAACCTTGCATTGATCGACATTGCATCTTTACATTCATAAAGTACAATAGTAAATAATACTCCTAACAACAAGATTAACATTCAAGACATAAACCATTCATTTAAGTTTCAAGGCATTCTAACATCATTTATTCAATTCAAATTTCAAGTAAAACATTCTGTAAAACAAATGTGATAGGGAGAGGCATCAATGACAATTCATTTTTGTATCATAATAGATACTGTGGGCCTGTTGAGGGAAACTTAAGCATATTGTCTTGTAAAAATCATGAATTTCTGAAAAAAAAACCTGTTTTAAAGTGTACACCATGTTCACAAAGTCCTTACCTAGTCTTTATTTTCACAACCATTGGCCATAGCCATGTACCTCCTGTTACAAAAGTGTTTAAATGATGCAAAGATCCGTGTTTTTGCATTTTTAAATTTAAATATATTGAAAAATTTTATACTCTCTATGAAAAATAAAACATAAAATTTGACTCTTATGTTATGAAAATTGACCAAGATATTTAATTTCAAAATTTGCAGTTTTTATATCATATTCAATTTACATTGAATGCATGAATAACAAGTAAATTAGAATAATTCCAAGTTGATTTTCTTTTCCTTAAATATTATTCAATGCTATTGTTTTCTGATTTATTGGTGTCTTAATTTATCATTTTATTCTATTTTGTATCTGGAAAAATTTTCACACATGTAATTTAAAAGATTTCAAGTGCTAAAAATACATTATTAATATTCTTAATTAAAGTTTTATTTCTTTAGAATAATAATATTTCCAAGTCAAGCTAGCGCTTTGAAGCCCTTAATGTTCATGATCCTAGATGTATGGGAAGGGGAGAAATTGCACCTACTTTCAGGAAACCAAACATTTTGGCCTCGTATTTTTGTTAATTTACATTCGCCTTAATTATTTTGATGTGTGTGGTACCATAAACAGATATGCAGTTCCAAATCCGTGAAGATGGATTTAAAATGCAGCCTTCTGTGTTTGCTTCTTATTGCTTCTCATGAATGTGTTGAACCCTATCATTAAGTATCTGAATTACAGTTCTCATCGGAAAAACAATCTATAAGCAAAAGATAACAAGAATAGTGAAAGAAATGTTTCTCATTTAGGAAGCAATTTAGTTATAAGTTCTAAAAGATTAAAAAATGAATAAAATTAATTTGAATATCAATAATAATTAAATTTGGAATAAATACCTTTCTGTAATCATGAGAAATCCATATGGCATACGTTTGATTCCAAAAATCATTTCTTTTTTGGAGAAAATGTCAGTTTAGGTTTCTTAAGAGATGTTACTGAAAAATAATTAAGTTTTTGTCCAGCTTTCAAAAGGCGTCATTGTACTACTTGTGCTTGATGAGAGCCATGATCTTCCCACATCCATTTTAATTGTGTGTATAATAATCTACAGTATCTTAGACTCATTCTTGTGAGTTTCTATCTTCTTCAGTAAATCTATTTTTATGCCCACACTTATCTAAATATCTCAGTGACAAATTTTCACTTTTTACTATCTATTTTTTTGGGGGGGGTAGAGATAATACTAATTCAGGTTAAAATTTTAGTTTTTTTATCAATATATTTTTGTTCCATATCAGTATTTTTTAGCAATATCTCAATTTGTTCTCATAATTTGTTATTCAAACCTTTCTTGTTATCCACTTGAGTTATTAGATAAATTCAGTAAATTAAAGTAAAAGTAAGTAATCTAAAAATTAAACAAATGTGTGAAACTTAAATGAAGAAAAGCAAATTGAAATGAATGAATGAAATTAATTACATTTATAATATTAGTGAAATATCCAAGACTGTCCCAGATCCATTACAGTTGCGGCATATTCTTTGGAGATTTGGCATGGTTTTCTTGTTAAACATCTGCACCACATTGGCATATATGACAATCCTTTGTGTATTTTGTGCAACCAGAATTTTGAGATCGACAGAGATCATTTGCTATTGATGTTCTTTGTTGAAGGAAGAAAACCTATACAGTCGATATTGGCAGGCTAGAGGGTTTTTGCAGTTGACATCCAGAGACTAATTTATTATTATTATTAATGCTTAATATAGTCATTTGTTGTTTCATTTCCTAATTTTGATGTAGTTATTGTAATGAGGTTAATTACTGTTTCGTCTTTTTGCATACTCTAATTTCGCCAGTGATGTATAATCAAGTGATTGCAATAAAAAAATTATATTAGTGATGTAATAAAATATTGTTAACTGTAAAAATAAAGGAAAAAATGCTTATAATCTAATTTAAATACAAGTAATTAAAATTATGTTGCCATTTTTGTTTGTTAAATTATTAAATTATGTGTAGCACATTTATTTTAGTTTAAAAATATTTGTGCTGGAATAAAATGCAAATGTGAAAGCTGCAATAAATTGTACATACCATAACAAAGGGAAAAAATATATAATGTTTTCTACAAGATTGTACATGATACACTAAGAGTGAGAAGATTAATTGTATTTGTGTTTTGTAATAAGTTTAATTTGTTATTTATTTTCAGGCAGCTTTGCATTTTATTAAATGCAGAAGACATTTATCTCACTTTATCAGAAATTCTAGTCATTTACAATGATGCCCGATTTTCCTGTCAGATGGTGCATACCTTGAATAGTATCTTACTTACTTCAACTGAACTTTTTGAACTCAGGAATCAACTTAAAGATCTTAAAACAGAGGTATAAACTTGTTTATATATATCTTTCTTTCTTTCCTCCCCCCAGGTAAAAATCTGAATTTTTGGTCTTGAAACTCTCAATTTATTATTTTACAACTGTTATTACAAGGATCCCATTCACCTGAAAATTTAAGCAAATAAAAAAAAAAAAAAAAAAAAAAGTCATGTAAAATAGAAACTTTCCTAAAAAGTCAGATTTTTTTTTTTTTTTTTTTTTTTAAATATATACACACCAATCTTTTCTAGTAAGTTCATGTATTAGATAGTAACAACTAAAAATTTCCCATCCTAAAAAGAAAGCAAATGAAATCTTTATTCAGATACATCCCATCAACTGCTGACAGAAATTTCATCAGCAGCTGCTAATTGTTATTGCAGAATTCTAAGAAGTAGTCATCCATAATTGGTGCTAAATCGTGCTACTTGTTGTCTTTATCAATTTAAATATGAGAATTTGTACTCATTAAATTTAGATAATGAGCAAGCATTAAAATTATTTAAATGTGAAAAATAATCCATCAGTTATAGTTAAACTTAAAAAAAGATTAAAAAATTGCAGACTTATTTCCCCTCCTTTTTTTTATTTGCAAAATTTTTCCAACTAAGGTTTAAAACTAACTCTTCCTTTATCCTTGCTGGGGATTTCTGTTAACCCATGAGCACAATAATATTGAAAAAAACTGATTTAAGTTTTATGTTATGCAATGTTGAGCATTCTAAAAATGTGAAAAATACTCAAATTCATTGGTTCAAACTCAAAGTTCAGTTTCCTGGTTCAAGTAACGTGTAACTATGAGATGGCTGGCATAAAAAAGGTTAACTGTTGCTTCAGAGATTTTAATAACAATTATTATGATTATTTATATGCTTTAATATTTATCGCTTTTCATTTTAGAGCAGCTGGTCTTTATTTGCGTGTCTGTATCGATGTTGGTGCCATAGTCCTGTTGCCACAGTTTCTCTTTGTCTCTTGGCTCAGACTTACAAACATGCATGTGATCTGTTGCATCTTTTGTATCCTTTTCTTAGCATTAATTTTCATTATTCATTTTTAGAATATATATAGCTTAATTACCTTTAAGCTTCAATTAGGAAGTTATTCATTCGTAGACTTAGTTAAACTATTGCCAAAATAACCACTTATTGAACTATTTTCATCTGTTTGTTTCCCATGTAGGTTGTTTAAATGTTTCTAGAAGAATTTCTCAGCATTACCAATTCATAGGTAAAACTAGTGAATAATAGCAGGCCCATTGCAATGTCAAAATGCAGAAGCTTCCATGATATTATGTTATAGACCATGTATAACCATTCTATTACCTTTTAACAATATCAACAAAAAGAAAGAAAGAAAATTTCTTTTCTCTGTGATGTTTTTGTAATTTAGGTATTTATACATAAAACATGAGTAAACATAATCTTAACTTGTTTGCAGCCAGTTTTTTCCCCCTATTTTTATACTTAAAATCTAAGCTGAAGTACAATTTAAAAATTTATTTTCCCTCATTAATGAACTACAGTAAGCACCATTTAATGTGATCATGTTGGTCCACAGCTATAATGATAACATTAAACAATAAGAAAAAAGGGTGCTATCAATATAGTGCCTAACCCACCCGCAAGGTCTCCAGTCGTTGGCAACTAGTTTTTCTACACCCTAATACATAAAAAAAATTAACAATGTAGGCACAATTAAAATTTCACAAAGCAGCATAAAATTAGCAGAATTGAAAATGCAAGAAATATCTGTAATGAAATGCTAAAAATTACATAAAACAATAATTTGACTAAATTAAAAATTTTAAAAAAATCCATGAAATACTGAAAATTGCATAAAATAACATCCATAATGAAACACTCAAAATTATATAAAATAACTAAACATTAACTAATTTAATAATATCACAAATTTCCATAATAATTTTTTTTTTTTTTTTTTTTTTTTTTTTTTTTTTTTTTTACCCAGTCTGCCTGTACACAGCAGTCTGCTTCAACTTAAATAAATAGAAAGTAGCAGAATTCTCAGGATTACAGAAACAGAGCACCTTGGCACTGTTCTCTGTGTATGCATCAATATGTTTTAACTTTGAAAAAAATATTAATAATAATAAAAGGAAAAAATGAGACAATTGCTGTTATTTGTAAAAAGCTATGTTCACAATCACATGAACACAGTTCATGAACTTTCGAGCTGTAACATTTCTATAATAAAAAAAAGGTAGCCAAATGTATCATTTTATTTCTATAACAATAAGAAAACAATCTTTTTGCTTTCCTACATGACATTTTCTCCAAATGAATTCCCCAAGATAACTCAAAAGGTGATGCTTTGCTGTGTCTTGCCCTTTATTCTTGTACTTAATGGATCTGCATAGCCTTTCCTTATTTTGTATATGTATGTCACTTAAGGGAGCTACAAAATTATGCTTATGATTTACTTCCTAATGATAATAACCTACTAGGTTGAATCTGAATAAGGTTAATTGCAGCATAATTTTGAGAATGAGTAATGTCTGAATTTGGTTGTTATGCCATAAAAAACGAGATGTTTTCCTTATCATAATTCCAGAATGTTGCTGAATACCATGCTTTTTTTTTTTTTTTTTTTTTTTTTTTTTTTTTTAATAAAGATGTTATTATTCTGAACACATTTCAAGGTGCATGTACATGTAATTATATAAAGGTATCAGTAAAAATGTTTTTGGGAGAGTTAACCCTTTGACGCGCTCGATATTATTTTTATAATTTTTTTAACTAAAAACTCTAGAAATTGAATATTATGATCCTAGAGACAAATAATATATGAATTAAAAAAATCTACTCTTGCCCATTGTTTTGTGAATGGTGGTCGCACTGTAAAACCACCACGCGTCTAGGACTTTGAAACTTACCTAGGTAGTAGGAAAAAAAAAAACTTGCCTTTTTCCGTATGCGTTTCCAATAAATGACGAAATTTATGAATTAAAAAAAAATGCATGTAAGAATTACATAATATATATATTTCTTACATTATTTTACAAACTAAATCGTCAGAAAAAAATTAAAAAATAAACATTTATGTAATTTTTCTATCGCAGTGAAAGTATAAGTACCTACATAATAAGCGTTTGGCTACATGGATTAAAAAACTCAGTAAAATAAGGATAAAAAAGACTCAGTTTATTATTATTATTATTATTATTTTCAAGAACAAATATTTTTGTGACACTGTTGAAAGCATCTTTTGTCTCTTTGGTACATGCATAGACCCACAATGTACGTTTCGCACATGTGTCTTCTGTGATGTTTTTTCCTTGTGCTATAAAATGGACACTGATTGGATCTAAATTTCACTGGTATATGTCCAGCGTTATTTAGTTTCTTTTCATCTGGCACATGGAATTTGTGGTTTTTTTATGTTAATGGGGGGGGGGAGGCTTGGTCTTTTTGGCTTTGGTATGGATCATTCGTTTCCCATTCATACTTATTTTATTCGTATTTCATCTCAAAATATTCAGAAAATATTTTTAATTTAAATAAAACTTTACACGATTTCTATTTTTAATTACAGCAAAGTATATTTACATTAAATTTAAACCACAGGAAATAATTTATAAAATCACAATACTGGCATGGGGAGCAAGTGTGCTGAGGTCAGAGAAAAGTCTCTGGAAAAGAAAGACCTTTTTACTGGGCAGGTGCATGTATTATTTAGTAATAAAATAACTCTATGATTTCAAAACCCCTTATCTATATCCGGGTAAAAATAAACATTCCTATTTGAGAAGCAAGCAAACGCCATTGTGAAGAGCAGTGGTTTTCAAGGCGCCACAATGCTCTAGTGGGGCAGTGGTCGCGCCCTGAAACCACAAAGCAAATGCCATACATATAGAGGTTTTATATATATATATATATATATATATATATATATATATATATATATGCAGTTTAATTTTTGCTATTTTTTATTGTTATGATAAAAAAATCATAATGTGTGGTGAATAACTTTTGAAATTTAAAGTTGTTTATATTACTAAAAGGAAGTTATTTTGTCTCATTGAAAATGAATTTTAAAAGGCCTCCGATTTGAAGTACTAAGACCTAAAACGTGTATGATTCTGTAGTCATTTTGTGTTATTTAAAGATAAAAGATCAGTAATGAATTGATTTTCACTCAAAAATTTCGGAAGGAAGAGGAGAAAAAAATTCGAAAATTGGTGGTTTCAATGCGCGACCACTGCTCGTCAAAGGGTTAAGTGACAGGAGACTTTCAATTCTATGCTACTAACATTTTTTTTTTTTTTTTTTTTTTTTTTTTTATCATTCATGTCCACCAACTCCCTTTTTTTATAATTTAAGCTTATGAAGTTTTAAAAAGCTTCTTAATTTTTTAATTCATTAATATTTTATTTCTTTCAAATCTAAAGATACTAATTAAAGTTGATGTATCATTATTGAGGTTTTCTTTAATGGATTATTTTATATTTTCATTCTGTACTGAATCTTTGCAAACTGAATGCACTCTGTTCCGTCTTTTTGGTAGATAGGTGGCGCTCTTGATGCACGCCGATGAAAAATATAGCACTTGACGCTTGAACATGAAGAATGACGCATGTCATTTTATTTGATGCTTGATTATGTTTCATGGCCGCTGTAGGCGGAAATAATATAAGTAATATAAGTTTATCGTTAATAAATGTTATTTCTATGTTCTGTGAACTCTTGAAATTTTGATTTGAAATTCTAATGCTCTCCCAACCGTGACTCCTGAAACGAAACGATCTTTGAATTTATGACTCATGAAGAAAGACACCACACATTTTGCTGGTGCCAAAACCCGGGACAAGGGGAATTACCTTTTGAAAGGTAAGACTTTTGATTCATTTGTTCCTGGTATCGATCTTTGAAAACGAAACATAATGGATGATTTAGCAAAAGAGAAAAAGAAACGTGCTATTGTACGTAGTAAAGTTACTACACTTCTAAATAAACTTGAGAAATTATTATCGGAAGCATTAAGTAAAGAACATGTAGAAGATCTAAATTCATCATATGAATTGTTAATTGAATACCATGAGAAACTTAAAACTCTTGACTCAAAGATCGATGCTCTCATAATTGATGAAAAAGAATATGATAACGAACTACTTGTATGTGAAGAGTATGATGAAAAAATTATAACGTTTAAAGCTAAGATTATTAGTAAAGTAAAGAAAATTAACAGGAATGAAGTTGTTGAAAGAAGTATAATTACAACTAGTAATGGTATTAGTAGTACTCTGAATGGTAATAATGTTGTTACAAGTGGTGCTTCAGTAAAGTTACCTAAATTAAATATTGAAAAATTTGCTGGTGATCCCAGTAAATGGCTCGAATTCTTTAATTCGTATGATAATGCTATTCATTCTAATCCAAGTTTATCTAAAATAGGTAAGTTTACATATTTGAAAAGTTTATTATCTGGTTCAGCATATAATTGTGTTTCTGGTTATGCTTTATCTGAAGAAAATTATGATCTATGCATTAAACGTTTAGAAGAGAGGTTTGGTCGTAAAGATGTTATTATATCAAAATTCATGCAGATGTTGTTACAGTTAGAACCAGTTAAAAGTTCTTCAAATGTTTTTGAGTTAAGAAAGCTCTATGATCAGTTACAAATCTGCGTTAGAAATTTAAGTAGTTTAGATGTTACTAGCGGTTCATACGGACAGTTATTGAACCCAATAATTCTTAAATTGTTACCTGAAGATTTAGCTCTTGAATTCCATAGAAAAAAGAACATCTAACCAAAATATAGAAGTAAGTGAATTAATAGAGTTCATTAAAATAGAAACTGAATGCCGAGAAGCAAGTATTTTGATTAATAGCTCAAAAGGTAATAAATACACAGGGGTTAATCCTAAACAAGGGTTAAAAAATTATAAAGTCAAATCACAAGCTTCTGCTTTTAACACATCGGTATAAAAATGTTTTGCATATTCTGCAAATCAAACGAACATACATCTGCCGGATGTTTGAAATTTTCCGACGAACAA